GGAACCCACTGGCCTGGCTCCCACGGCCCCTGCACACTCCTCTGCCCACGCACAGAGCCCTCCCAGCGAGCTCACGGCTCTCGGGGACACCGTTTTGTTCAGGCACCTACGTTCTGTTTCCAGGACAGACTGCTCACCGGATCTGCCTGCTCTCCTCCGGCCGTGTGGCAGGGATGAGTGCTGCCCACCTAATGGTGGGGCTGCGCCGAGGGGCGATGGAAATGATCAAAGGCATGAAAAAATTAAGAGGAACAAAATGTGTAAGGAAGGACTTTGCTGTTTGGAGCAGTGATGCGCGAGGGGGGTTTTGATACTGGTCTAGTCAACCCGGAGCACGCTGAAGGAGAAGCACAAATAGGCAAACTAAGGAGGAAAATACACCAATGCTTATTAAAGACATAAATAATGCTTCTTCTTCAAAAAAGTGGCTTCAGTCTGCACAGCCAGCCCGTGCAGAGAGCCGGCTAGCTGGCAGTGGAAAGAGTTATTTCCTGGGGGGAGACAAGGCTGCCAAGAGCCCCCAGAACCAAGGAGGAGCATCAAGGTGTTGCCATTAGGGTTAATTGCTTTGACGTGCAACGAGGATGTGCAAAAATGGTCTAATCAGCAGCAGCCTCTTAAGAGGGCAAACAGGTGAGAAAGTCAGAAGTAATACAGCACCTGAGTGCAAAGAGGTTCTAATTAAATACTCCTGCAAATTAGTGACTCATTTAGAAGTAAAATGATTTAATTTAAACTCTGGTGATGAATTAATGTACACCTGTTCCCCCCTTTAAGGCAAACAAATGAGTAAATAAATGGGAGGATGATAGGCTTACAGGGGGTGGTGGTTGGCAAGTCTTGTGCCACCTCTGCAGCCCCTGACTATGGCAGCACTGCCCTGGCTCCCCACCTTGCTCCACAACTGCCTGGGTGCTGGGAGTCTGCTCTTGTTCCTTTCTGGGGCTCAGGGGAATCACTGCTTCATACCAAAACTTGATCAGAGTAATACTTTCAACTCATTCTTCCTAGAAAGCAGAAGGGCTGGGAAATTGGAAGGAAATGAGCCAGGAATAAACTTAAAAGCACCATGACTTTTAGTTTTGCTTTGCTTTTAAAGTGACAGGGGAGATGTTGTGAGACAGCAAGTGCAAATTAAGAAAAAGCCCAATTAGCAAAACTCCTCCTTCCCAGCATGGAAGTGCAAGGAGCAATCTCTCCAAAGCAGCTCAGGGATCCCTGCTGCTACTGCCATCAACATAAAGACAGAGCCAGACCACTGAAACGGGATTGGAAAAAGGCTCTTTCCTCGACAGACGTGAGAGCACTTTACAAATGCCTTGAAAACATTCCTGGGTGCCAGTTTGACTCTCAGATACGGTCCACCTTGGGTTTGCTGCTCCTCTCCCTCAGTACAGCTCCAAAATCCCCTCGGCACGCTGCTGGCAGGCACGGGTAGCTGGGGCGGGCAGGCAGACCCCTGGGCAGCTTGGCTGGGCGCAGGGAGGGGAAGGCGCTCGGGCTGCGAGTGCTTCCCGGCCTCCTGTGGAATCAACCACATTAGCACAGGCATTGACCGCTGTCAATCCGCGCCGCGTCTCAAACGAGGACATAATGCGCTCCCAAATCAATCCCTGGCAGCGCTTCAGCCTTATTCTTATTACGGGAACGTGAGTGCTGCGTGCCCGCCAGGCAGCTTCCCGAATAGCCCATTACACCCACGACGTGCGGCTCCCCTGGTGCTATTGGGACCCCCTGGGGCTCACTGGCCCAGGGACCCCAGCGCCTCTCCCGCTGCTAAGCTGCCCTGCCAGGGCTGCAGGTGTGGGAGATGCGATGTCCTTGGTGCTTTAAGGGACATGCAGGCGAACGCAGGGTTTGGGCAGGCCGGCAGCGTTTCTGTCCATACAAAACTGTGGGGAAGGGGCTGCAGCCTCCCCGCTGCACCGGGAAGCAGAAGCACAGTCAAATCCAATGCACAATCTGGAGATTATCAAGGACCAACGTTCCAGGCAGTGACACGCTGCCTGGCTCTCATCACCTCCAGCCTGCTCTGCTCCCAGGAGCTGTCTGCCGGAGGGACATGCCAAAAGGCCTGGGCTTGAGGGGCAATGGCCACAACTGCAGTTTGCAAAGAAAAAATGTTCCCCTGGGAATGTGGTGCAGGATCTAGCCCAGGAACGGAAGCAGCCCTGGTTGGGGCCGGTCTGTCCTGTGTTTGCTAACAGCAACAAAGGGGAGAGCAGCACTGGGTGTGAGATGCGGTGTGCACGTGCGTGGGTTTGTGCCAGCGCGGGTACCCCCATCCGAGGGCAGGATCCTGCCCCATGTCCCCAGGCTGCAGCATGGGAAGGTGGCCCACAGGAGGAGCTCCAACACCGCTGCAGCGCCTGCCACAGCCCGCAGATAAATAATTAAGGGGCTCAGCCTCCCTTCGACTTATTTAATTCCATTAACCCCACACTGTAAATTCCCTATAATTCTCACGGTGCACTAAAAATGAAATACACTCCTGGTGCGGCCGAGCCAGGAGCTGCTGCCAGACCCTGCACTCTGCTCCACCCAGCTCCGCTACCCACCCGGGAGAGTGTGCCATGCCCCACACCGGAGCAGTGGGAATGGTGCCTGCAGGCGGCACAGCTCCCAGCACCCCCCGTTCAACCTCTCCAGGGGTACCAGCAGGCCCACCTGGGATCACTCCGGACCCGGCGGGATGAGGATAACCCGCAGCTCGTGGGGTTTCCCATCGTTACAGCCAGCACATAGCTCTCTTTGTGCCAGCTTTGCTGCACGGGCTACTCGGCCTGGCAAACTGGTGTGAGTGATATTATTTGTTCTCTGACCTGTGGGAACGGAGGCCAGAGGGCTTTAAGGAATCCCTGCCACCCTCCCTGCTCATGCAGGGAGGTGCTGACAGGTCTTGTTTTGTGTCACCTGTGTCTAGGTGACCCTGCTATCGCTTGCACAACCGCGGCAAGCGCCAGACTGATGGCTCTGGGCAGCTGGCCTCAGTGGTTAGAAGTGCTGTTAAATATTTGCTCTCTGCCTGCCACGCCACCGCTCCAGGAACGTGAGCCATCTATAAACAGCCCTGCACCCCACGGAGATGCTAGGCTGCTCTGCTAAAACACTTAAAATGCAACAATCCCAAAGCACAGGCAGACAGCAAATGGGCCTGGGGGGTTTCACCTGTAATGCCTTGGTCCCGCTGCTCCCCATGCTCAGCTGTGCTATGCCCAGTCTGGCCACTATCACACCAGAGGGAAACAGGGATGGGGCCTCCATCTTTCGAAATGCTGGGTCACCACTCAGCTCTGGGTAGGTCTGGGGCTCACACAGTCCCAAGGTGAGTGACTGTATCCTCTCTTAATGGCTGCAATTGCACAGAATTTGGCGAGCTGTGGTTCTCTGCCTCTCGCCGTGCTGGGAAGCACAAGGTCCCACAGGGGGCTGCTCCCTTCCCACCTCCGCTATTTCCACATCCACGCTGCGGATTACCTTACTCAGCAGCACATGCCGTGACCATCCTGCCTTCCAGCCCTCCCACCACAGGCCCCAAAGAGAGATGATACCATGCCAGACCTGCACACACAGGGACCGGGCTGAGAGCAGACCCATCGCCGCAGCAATCCTGCACAGGCAGCTGCCATTCCCTGCCAACTCAGCCCAGGATTTTTCTCACTGGCATCTCAAATTGGGAAATGACTGTGTGGTCCACACATGACAAAAAGGGGCAACCAATTCTGCCTGGGGTCTATCCTAGTACCAAACACCATATGAGCCTGTCATGTTCAGTAATTTCTAGCTGATGAGGACTCAAATGCAGCAGAATCCAGGGGAAAAAAATTACATGCAACAATCAGCTACTTAATAGCTGCTTCAACATGAAAAGTACAACTGATTGGTGCTCTCAACCAGCCATGATATTCTAAAGAAAAAGAAATGAGAAGAGAGAGGCTCATGAAAACAGCTATGAGAATTTACTTAACGCTCATTTTTTCCGAAACAGTTCCCGCAGCTCAGTACGAGGCTGCAGGCTCCAACTGGCACAGGCCTACTGCGAGGACGGGAGCGCACAGGCACGGGATCCCGCCGACTCCTCACCATGTGGCAGAGGCACAGTCAGCCCGTAGCGCAGGGGACAGCCCTGCTCAACGTTTGGGCTGGACTCCTAACAAAAGGCCCAAGGCAGGCAGATGTGACGGCACACCTCGGCACCACGGGCAGGACATACATGAACACACAGGTAACTGCACGGCAGCACATTATTTCTCTAAACATCGCCTACACTGCGGTGTAACGCTGTAGCTGCTGAAAGCTCAGCTCTTCCCTGGTCTAGGCAGCAGTACGCAGAGGGATGGCAAACCCTCCGCTTGGCAGCCTGAAGCAGAAAAGAGCTCTGTATCTTCCTCAGGTACATGCAGCACACCCTTTGAACTAGCTGGAATTCATCCCTTACCTTCTCAGCAGAGATCTGCTTTCCCTTCCCTGGCATATATAATCCTACCTCGTGGGCAAATGTTCTGATCTCATCTCATAAATCAGTGTAGGTACGCTGCAGGAAGGGGAGGCCACAGGCACAGGCAGATTACAATTCAAACAGAAGTGATAACGCATGCAAAGGACACTTCCCAAATTTATTCCCTCTTTAATACTAGCGGAGGGTTTATTTACAAGTTCCCTGCAGCTCAAGAGGGTCCTGCATGTAAGCACAGGAAAACATATATCCTGCCACTGCTGATCTCACAGCTGCTGGGGAACTTTCCCCAACTTCACAAGTTTTCAACCTCATCAGCCAGCCCGGAGAGTGGTGAGAACCGCAAGGCAGCCCATGCGCAGGTCAGCACCTTCCCCGCCACATGTGCTCCCCTTGGCAAGCTCCCTGCAGGGGAGGATGGGATGGAGGGGTCTGGCTGGGAGAAGTGCAGCGCAGGATGGGGGCGTTCATCAAACGCCCAGTGTGTGAGTGAGCAAAGGCAGCATCGGTGACAGGAGTGGACAGTACCTCTCCGGGGGCTCCACTGGAGACACGGAGGAGGGTGGGAGTGCGATTCAGCAGCGCGGGGGAGTTTGCAGCTCAGGATTGCAGGGCACAGGCTGAGGGAGCTCCATGCAGGGAGGGGAGCTGGGATTGCTCCAGGGCAGTGGGACACTGGTGACAGAGATGCTGAATGGCACAGGCTAATGGCAGCACAGCCAAGCAGTGTGCAGGGGGGCTCCACTGGAGACACGGAGGAGGGTGGGAGTGCGATTCAGCAGCGCGGGGGAGTTTGCAGCTCAGGATTGCAGGGCACAGGCTGAGGGAGCTCCATGCAGGGAGGGGAGCTGGGATTGCTCCAGGGCAGTGGGACACTGGTGACAGAGATGCTGAATGGCACAGGCTAATGGCAGCACAGCCAAGCAGTGTGCAGGGGGAGAGTTGAATGAAAACCCAAATGTGCTTGTCAGCAGCGGACGATGGCGCACAAAGCAAAGCTTTGACTGCAGATGGAAGCGAGGGGCATGGGATGCTGTGGACTGAAATACCTCAGCCAACCTGCACGGACGGCAGCCCTCGCAGACCAAAACAACAACATAAACAGCCACAGCCCGGGCGGGTGGACGCAGGCTCCCGTTCACTCCTAAGACTGTAAGCATGGTGGGAGCATGGCAGGCTGCTGTGCGTTCAGCTGCAAGGCCTTTTCCTTGTACCAGCTAGGCTTCAGCCGCTGAAGGCAGGTTCCCACTGCTCTGGGGCTGGCAGGGAGAGCTGGCAGGCTCCCAGGCCTGGCTCGGGGCCTGAGCAGGCCATGCCAGTGCGGGGGAGGCACAGCTCAGCTTCCAAGCCCTCAGCGCTGGGGGTCCCAGCCAGCATCGCTCTGCCCCCCCCGCCCGGCACGCTCTCACGCTCACCTCATACTCCTGGGAGAACTTCAGCCCGTCGTTGGCTTTCAGCCTGTCGATGTTGTCGGCGAGGTCCGTCACAGGGATGGGGGGGTGGTCGCGCATGCCTGCGAGCGAGACAAGGAGGGAGGAGGGAGAGGAAAACGGTTATGGCTCTGCACGGCTGAGGAAGGCTTGCCAACAGCATGTGCACAGCAAACCCGAAAGGTAGGTGCAAGGCGGACACGTGTGACTAGGTGAAGCGCTGGGCGGGATGGATGGGAAGTCGGCGAGGTCACACGGCATGCTGCACGCACTCTCAGAGCACACGGTTCAGTGAAACGAAAAGAAAGGTGATGTGCGGAATGTGCATGACCGGGTGAGCATGCTCGGACAGTACAGCCACCGGGCACACAGAGCAGGCCACGCAGTGGGCAGGGGCTGGGCAAGCCCCCGGCAGGAACGGGCCGAGGAGACGCTGTCGATGTGCTTCCTGGGCTCACGCACGGGCTGAAGTTGAACACACCGATTCCCTGGTGCTCTCACCACCAAGGGCTGAGGCTGATCCTCTTGCTTACCCCTAACAATGGCGTTAGCCAAAAAGAAACTCGCCCAGACCTGCAACAGGGGAAACTTCTGTAGCATATGTATGCAGCCTTTTGGGTAGGCAGATGTTGCCCCAGCCCCTGGGGAGCTGGAGAAAGATGGGAAGGGCCCCGTGGGGGAACAGCTACTCCCCTGGTCGGAGACTACGCAACTTGCTGAGAGCTGAGGAGCAGCTCTGCCTGCAGCTGCGTAACTCAGTGCTTTTCAGTGGTGCTCCAGAGGCAGAGCCAGCTCCAGGGCCCAAAATCCAGCTCCACTGGGCTGGCTCGTGCAAGGCACCATGTGCACTGACATGCCCTACAGCAGCTCCCAGAAGGCTGCTGCGAGCTGGGATGCAGCTCAAGCCATGGCAGAAGTCTTGCCCTGTCTAATGCAGGGATGCCCAGTATGGTTCACACTGGGCACAGCCCAAGCCCTACTCAGGGGAGAGGCCCAGAGGAGGGGATCCCACAGATCCCGCACAGAGGGCAGGTACTGGGCAGGTGCACATGTGGGACAGGGAGGAGCCCTGCTGTGGCACTGGGATTCAGGGCTCAACCATCACCACCTCATTCTCTGATTTTTTTTAATGTGGCTATGAAACATCTCATCCAAGACTGGCTCATCCAAATCCCAAGGCTCGTGACTCCATCAGCTGCTTTGTGCATTTCCCAGAAACCCCACATGGGTAATAATGATTATTAATAGGCTGAAACTGTTGATTCACACCCAAGGAGACAGTCTGGAACATGGCCAGGAGCTTCTCAATTGCTCAGGAGCCTGAACGCTGCCGCAGATGGCAGCAATGGGCCGCTGAGGTGATGGAGCAGTCCCCAGGCTGGGTATGTGCATTTTACACAGTGGTGAAAAGTCACTAGGTGTTACACCGCAGCCGCTGCACAGCAGGGCTCCTCGCACCTCTGCTGAAAGCATCTGACTGCTTCATATGGGCAAGACCTGATCCAACACACACTCGTCCTTCTATCACTTGACAGCACAGAGCTATCCACAGATGGCCTGAGAGCACACGGACAGATGGAGGAGGAAAGATTCCTCTTCTGCCTTGTGCCGAGTTCCTCCTGCAAATGGTTCTCTGCCACTTCACCCATCAGGATCCCTGAGGTGGCTGAGCAGACCCACAGACGGTGCTCTGATTTCTGCACAATGTGCTCACTGATGCCAGAGCTAGAGCTCCAGAGGCTGTGGCTCAGGAGGAGCCTTTGCAGTGTGGAGCTGTTCCTGATGAGCAACTGAATGAGGAGAGCAGTGTGGGACAAAGGCAGACATGTGGGGTTGAAAGAACAGAGAGGCTGGAATGTAGCCACAGTATGTGCTTATCCCAACACGGTTATGTATGAAGTACGGCAAAGCCACGGACCGCAGCAGAGCTGCAGACACTCATCTCTGCTGAGAAACACAAGGGGGTCTCTCCAAACGTCAGTTTTGCTGACCAAAGGAATGTTGCAGCCATGAAGGAGCTGCAAGAGCAGATGGGGAGAAAACAGGTGACTGGTATCCCATCATGGTGAACCCAGACAGCAGGACAGGACATTTGTGCACACTACCAGGACACTACCAGCTCTTCCAATAACTGGCAAGAGGACACTGAGCTCTCCACCAGACTAGAAGGGCTCAGAGGTCTCACGATGTCTGCAGGGCCACAGACTGCAAAGCCCTTGGCTCTGCTCCTGGGGGAAGCATCTATCATCCTATGTAATTCTCCCACTGCTGGGTGCACACGCAGATGCCTTGTGCATCAAGCAGCAGGGAGGACAGGCTTTTATGGTTGTTTGAGAGTGAACCTGAAGCTCACAAGACAAGAGATAAAGGGGCAGTTACAGCCATAGTCCTGGTACTACTCCCTCCAATCTGCTAGAGCAGCAGTCCCTCTGCTCTGTGCCTGGGACTCGGATGCCAACACTGACAAGCGGGCCAACTGCACGGCAGTTCCAAGAAGGTATCCTTGGCATCCTTCTGCCTAACTCCATGGCACAGGTGACCCAGTCTAGGGAAGCCAGTTCGCCTGAGGCAGGAGGAGAGTGTGTTCAACCGCTGGGTTGCAGAGCACCCTTCAATTTGTCCATTAGGTTTTTTTTTAGCTGGCCACCCTCTACAGAATGGCCAAGGCTACCTGTGCCCACGCAGGGCCAGCCGCAGATCCAGTGGCACAGCAGAGCCTAGCATGGCACTGCAAAGGTGCCGGAGGCCTGGGAGCAGGCAAAGGGCTGCTGCAGGAGCCTCCTGACAGCCCAGCACCCGGGGCCTTCCCTTCTGCACCGTGCTCTGGTGAGCTGCTGTAGAGCCGTGCAAACAGTACCCGAGTTTGGCCACACACCATGTCAGAAAGTAAAATCACTGCTGTTCTACAGTCTGCTGTGAGTGAGGGTGACCTTCATGACAGTGAAACAAAAATTACAGAGACGAGAGAGAAAGGAAAAGAAAAAGCAAAAGGTGTCAAAAGGTAAATACAGGAGTTAAAACTAACTTGAGATATTCGGGCAACTGGGGACACTGGCACCTGCAAAGAAAAGAAACGGGGCAAGAACAGAAATCCCATTAGCCTTTAGTCACCACCGCAGAGGTTCAGAAATGGAAAGACAAAGTGATGAAGGTGCAAAGGAAAGCACCACCTGTCACAGCACCAGGAGCCTCCCTCCTGCACAGGACCGTCTGCCTGGCCCCGGGGGCTGCTCTGCAGCTGGCCGTTACGCTCTAGGCTTTTGGCTCTGGCCAGCGCTGGCCCCGGATGCTGACACACACGTGGAGCTGGAGGTACTCACAGAGGAGTGAGCACACAGGTCATCTGATGCCACGAGCTACACTCCTCGCTGTGCACCACTGTCCGCGGCCCTGTGCCCAAGTGGGGCCAGCAAGGCCAGGCGGATGGCAGGCACAGGAGACATCTGTGCTGCTTGGTGCCAGGAGGAGTGCTCTCTGCCTCAGCAACCTCTGCCCAGTGCCCCTGAGCCTCCAGCTCACCCGCAGCTCATCAGCAGCACAACTCAGCCTTGTTTTATGGCGTACTGGGACGCTGCCCGGTCCCGTATCCGCTCAGCGACTGGGCACAGAAGCACATTAGTATAGGGAGGCTGACAGTGGGGGAAATAACCCTTATCTGAAGTAAAACCCACAAAAACGAGAAAGCTTAATATTTAATAACAGTAGCACGATTAATTATGCATTAAACAAGTTCTCCCTGCTCAGCAGACTCCAGCAGGGAGACCAGCTACTGAAGTGTGCAGGGCCAGTGGCCAGCACCTCTTGTCAGTGCATCCACACAGCACCGCTTCGACGTCAGGCAGGTGACAGGGGCAACAGCGTGGACCCACTGGGCTCGGTGGTTTTCATGCCTCCCCGTTAATGAGGACAAGCTCGTCAGGAGCTGAACAGTCATTTCTGGCTGCACAACACCTGCTTCTGCCCCACAGAGCCTCACAAGTGATGCAGGGGGGAAGAAGGAGGATGCAGCGCTGTTGTTCAGTGGGGGAGAGTTGGCTAGCAGAATCCCAGGGCACTGCTGCTGCCTCTAGGGAGCTGGGTGCTTTGCGTTGTTTTTCTCTCTCTAGAGAGCTCTGCAAACTTTCTGGATGAGCCAGTGTCTTTGGCTTATCCTTAGGGCCAGGCAGGAAAAGAAAATTTCCAGGATCCCTTTCCTCTCTGATGGCAGCTCTTGACCGTTCCTACAGATCTAGCTGTAGGATTCCCTCATTGCAAACACCCGATCTCTTGTTGGAGATGGGAGCAGATGCAAGCCTGACCTGTGACACTCCTCCATCCAATGTAAACCACAAGCATAGAGCAAAGATGGCTCTTGTGTCCCTGAGCAGTGGAGACATGTCACAGAGGCTTGTCTCCATGCACAGGCATCCTGGAGCAGCCCTTGCTCCTCCTCAAGCAGCTGCATGCTGCTGCTGCTGTGTGTGACCCCCTCACCTAATGCTGTTCCCAGTGATCCGCCTGTTGGGATGTTCTTCCTCCAGCGCAGGTGCCTCCCTTGCTCCCACAGCATTTCCCTCCCATGCTGCCACACCACACTGGTCTGTGTTGTGCCAATTAACGGGCCAGGTCTGCTGCAGATGCGCAGTTAGCGCATCTCCCCCGGAGGGAGTTCCCTCCCATGCTGCCACACCACACTGGTCTGTGTTGTGCCAATTAACGGGCCAGGTCTGCTGGCAACTGCCACACTGTCACTGCACCCTACCCGTGAGATCTGCCATCGGCCCTGCTGGGGAGATGCGCTAACTGCGGATCTGGCACGGAGGGAGATGTGCTGGTGAAGCCCACCCCAGGTCTGAGCCAGACTGCAGTGAGTGGCAACAGGAAAGGCTTCTCTTACCCTCCCTCCCAGACACAGCAGGTCTACATCAGGAAATGGTCCCTTCAAAACTCTCCAGTTAGATGAAAGCTCTTAGATGAATGAGCAGCAGGAGGAAAAGGAAGTAGGTTACAGACCAGGAGGAGCTGCAAGTTAGAAGAGAGCTGTATGTGCCTCATTTATCGCTGAACTGTTCCCTCCATCACAAAAGCCCAAGTGCTCCCCCACTTCATCTAGGCCTTGGGCTCTCTGAAAAGCTCTGGAGGAGTCGGGGTGAGCCTGTTTCCGATCGTTACAGTGACAAGTACTGTGCTTTCGGTGCCGTCAGAGACTGACACAAAGCAGCATCACAAGACCTTTCTGCAGTGCGAAGTACAGTTGCCTCCGCGGGCTGGCAAACCAGCTACACCCCAAGGCACTGCAGGCCAGTGTGGGCATGAGGAGATGCTCTGCAGCAAACAGTGGCATGCAGAAAGCAACAGCTGCTACTGAACTATCACCCTCTGCGCTGAGACCACTGAGACCAGCAGCACCCTTCCCTTGGCCACGGCACTGAACAGGGAGCAACGTAGGCTACTTCTCCTCACCCCTGGCTGAGCAGAGCAGGACAGTCAGCACACCAAAGATCCCGGGACAAAGCTGCTAGGACACCCTCAGCAGTATGAGGGCTGCCTGTACTTCCTGACCCTCCTGAGTTATGCCCCAGTGGTGCTCAGTGCTGAATCTCAGCCTGGACTGAGCCAGTGCGGCACCCGGGAGCAATGCAGACGCAGGACTTGCGAGCTTCTCCAAAATGCGTGGAGGCTCTTCCCAGCTCAGGACAACTGCAGTGAGCTTCACATAACATCTGACACACACCCCACAATCAGCTGTCCCCATCCAGGTCCCCCAGCTTTGCGTGCCTGCAGTGACAGGGCCAGGGAGAAAGATTTGCAAACCAGAGAGTGGACACCTGGATAACCTTGTTCAAAGCCCTCTCTGTGCCACTGCAACCAAGAAGGTACAGAGCTGCTGTGGGGGGAGGACTGCAACTCCTCCTCTGGCATGGGGACCTGGTGAAGGGGAACTGGAGGAGGTGGGGCACAAGGGGGTCAGCTGCTCCTTACCTGGAGTCTGGTAGTTGAGCCGCCTCATCTCAACCGGGTCAGAGGAGTGGGCCAAGAGCGAGTCTTTCAGGCCAATGGAGTGCTCATCCTTGGAAGAGGGGGAGTGTGCCCTTTTCCTATGGACAGAGAGGGCAGAGACAAGCAGGTGAGCTCTGGCAAAGACTGGCATGAATCCCCCTAGGAAAGAATATGGGTCCCTGCGTCCCAGATACCCAGCTCCATCCCAGGCTCTGGACAAGTCACATCCTCTTCTATGCCTCCAATTTCCCATCTATGAAACAGGAAGGATCATACGTGAGCAACAGCAGAGGTTTGATTAATGAGGCACTTTGAAATGTGATATTCTGCATAATAATTATTACAGAAAAAGCAGATAGATCCAAGATGATGTTTCCTCTTACTCTCTCTAGGAACTATTTCCTATAGTGGAAGGATATAATTTTTTTTCCCAAGTATTAGAAATATTTAAATATAGAATGCTGTAATATAATAGTATAAAGGCTCTTCAGGGTGTGTTTTATTGGGCCATTAATACATGTCTTGAATGGTTGAAGGCACCCAAGGCGTGTATTAATGGAACAATAAAATACACTGTTGTCTCTTCATGCTATATTTATGCCTAGAGCAATGCCACCACCTCAGGCTCTTGCTGGAATTCACAGGCAAAGCAGGGACAGATCCAATCAAAAAGTGGACAAATGAATATTATGGAAAATCTAATACTACAAGAAGGGTTTCTAGCAATTCTTTAAGTCCCGCTTCTTGCTCTGTATTACAGATAGAGTGGATATACCAAGGCAGTAGAGAGGGGTGTTTGGCAGGAGCAGGACAGCAGTACTCCCTTCGGCATCTGTGCTGACCCTGACACTTTCCCAACGTGCTGAGCCTGCAGCAATACAGAGCCTTTGTCTTTTGGCTACAGCCCCAAAATGGATTTTGCCTGATGTGAACCCCTCTGCTGACCTGATGTTTTCTGGAAGAGAGGGAGCTGCATCGCTGCTATTCTGCAGGAATGATATGACAATTACCATCCCGCAAATCGCAGGAGTCAGCTGCATCTCTGGATGGTGGTGACCCTGAGCCATGCACGATCAGAAACCGCTGCACAGGCACAGGGTGCTGTCACTCCAACAGGGAGCTGTGCGTGCTGCGCTGGCTCTAGTGGGAAGCAATTAGGGAAAATTCAGTGCATAAATCACAAGTGAAACCTGCATTCCCTCTCTGGCCCAGGCTGTGAACAAGCTCCATCTGCAGCCTGTGGCTGCATCAAACACCGGAGCTGTTCAACCTGGGGACCAGTTCCCAAGTCTTACACTACTCTGAGTCATCTCAACATCTCAGAAGCCCTCTAGCTGACTGGATGGAGACAAAAAAGACTGAGAGCATTGATAGAAAGAAAGGAAAATACATGGTAAACAAACAAAGCAGTGTTTCTCCTGTCAGGAGCACAGAGGGATGTGCCATGTGCTACTGTGTACCAGTCCCTGAGCCCTTGAGCAAAGTGGCCCAGCTTTTCTGGGCAATGGGCACAGCACATAATCAGTGTTAGCATCTCATTAGCCTAGTCAGGGCAACTGCTAAACAAACCTTCAGATCCCAAGCTATCCACTGCCACTCAGCTTCACTTCATTCCCACTGTAGATTTCACACTGAATATGATGCACCTTTGGGAGAAAACACCTCCAAAGAAAAGCTGACCGTAAAGAACTGTAGGATGACACAGCATCACTGAGCACGCCGGGGTGCTGGAAGGGGACAGGAATGGCAGGTCTGACCACAATGGGTTGGAGCTGCTTCCTGGTGCTCCCCCCACACCAGACTCTGGGACAAAGCAAAGCTAAGCCAGGCTGGGCACAGCAGGCTTATGGGGCCCAAGTACAGAAATCCCCTCTGGAGCCATTTCTCTCCTTACAATTGCCTGGTATTCCCTCAAATCTTCCTCATTACAGACTGCAAGAAGGCCCCTGCATTCTTGACTGAAGTGACTGAGAAAACAAAGAAACCCCTAAACTGCTGGTGGTAGCAGGTTTTTTTTTTTTTTAATTATTTTTTAATTTAATTGCAAAAACAATCTGGAAAGTCTTTGTGTTGGAATTGTCTCCCTAAGAGCTGTGAGAGGCTGACAATTGCTAGGAGGCTGATACCTTTGAGGAAACAAAGTCTTTGTAAACTCCTAGGGCTGGCATGCCCCACGCTCCCAAAAACAAAGATACCCCTTAGTAGCTTCAGGCTTGATTTTTAAAAAGGGAAATAGACTTGAAATTTTAGCAAAACAAGAAGATAAAATGGATTCATACCTTTCTTGCTTACTAGATCCAGGGAAGAGCAGAAAGAGAAGAAAGGAGATGATCACTGACACAGAAAGGCACTGACTGCACATGCACAGCAGAGCTCCATTTAATCAAACAAAGCCAGCTCCCCTCCCTGAGTTATGGATACAGGAGGAGCAGAACCTGGAGCTGAGCTGAGGGAGAATGACCTACTGTAACTGAACAGGCTACACAAACACATGCAAACGCAACCCGTGGCTCCTTGGGAGGACTAACAGCCATGGCACACTACAGTTATAGCTCTAGCAGGACTGCTCTGCTACCCAGCAGCAGCTGGTTGCTTCAGCAGGCAGCACAGAGTGTGGATGGTCCTGATACGGTAGCCAGGACTGAGAGGTCTCAAGAAGAGAGTTCCTACTCTGATTTTTCAGCCTGTCACATCCAGGCCCTGTTCTCACCATCCATGTTCCTCAGTCAAAATTCACAGTTGTGGGGGCACCTGCCAGAGATCAAGCAGGCAATTTCCACAGAAAACCAGTACTAGAGAAGTCCCCGAGGCTGCACATCCAAGCTGTGAGACCAGAGAGCAGTCAGACTGGCTCTAGGGACAGTGTGTCCCACTGCTCAAGCATTTCCAGAATCCACAGCAGGTATGTCCTGGGGCTGATATTAATGACCTTCTGCACTCCAGCCCTTCTGCTCTCTTTATAAAGCAGCCTTCTGCTGTGCAGGAAGAGACCTTCCTCCTCCCCACAACGACCAAGGACTGTCTATCAGAGCACCCCATATCTGAAGGCTACAAGGAGGGACTTGAAAGTACCACCACCCGTAGTGCTCACGCCATAATTACTATGTCCTGGACTGGATCTCACCTTTTGAAGAGGAGTATAGCAATGACAATGATGATGATTAATATGACGGCCAGGACAGGTCCCATCACCCACAGCATCTCCGGTTCATCCTGCTGCTTTGCTGAAGCTACTTCCATCACAATCTCATCTGAGTAGGGGCTGGCTGCGTATCTCTTCTGAACAACACCCGCAGGAGAGGGAGAGAAAACAAAGCGTCTGTTATGCTAAAGCAACAGCTACCCCCTGAAATGCAGTGGCTAGCAGGCAATGGTCATGCTTCTCAAATCCCAGCAGCACACCACGGGATCCTCCCTCCCTCAGCATCAGTGGAGGTCACGCTGCGAAAACAGTCTCTTCTTGGTGTGAAACATTCCCAGTGCCAGCAACTTCCTGGCTAGCAGACCTGGCCTCGAGGTGCCAAACTGGAGCAGCCCAACTAAGAGCTACTTGCCAGCCCTGGATTCTCTCTGAGCCAAATCACGAGCTTTTGAATCCCGACCAACCGCACAGTGGGACTGGCTGATGATTCCTAAGTGGTTTATAATACCTGCTGTGCTGATATCAACACATCTCTCCAGGACAGGGCTATATTAGGAAAACCCTCGCTGGGCTAGGTGGTTTTCTTAAAGGAATGAAACGACGGGAACATTTTCTACTCAATGTCTCAGCCCTGATAAACAGACCTTGGAAAGGGGCTCATGCTTACAGGCTCCTTTCCAGAGACTTCTGCAATCTGGTAGCCCATTGGTTTATAACCCAAAGGGACAGCTTCTACCCCAGCAGCAAGACGGCATTAGCAGCACCCCTTTTTTAAAAATGACACTGCACCTGGCTGGTTCTGCTGCTGTTGCTAAGGCTTATGGAACTGTGCTGTCCCTTCCCAGCTCAGCCTCGCTGGGTCAGAAGGGTTAAATACTGCAAAGAGAAATCCTTTCCCCCTATTAGAGAGGGCCAGAGCTCTCTCAGTTCAGTGCCTGTGGCTTATGAGCAGCACCTGCTGCCTGGCATTTGGAGCCAGGAACGCTCTGCTCCTGCCACAGAAAGTTTTGGGCAGAGAAGAGGTGCCTGTGGATCTATAAATCGCCTGCTTTAAGGTCGAAGTTTAAACACACACTTCATGTCTGCATGCATGTGAGGAGAAGAAAGGGAAAAATCAAGCGTGCTGGTGTCACACAAATGCACATCTTGATCTCCTCTCACAGGTGCCCTTGATCCCAGCCAGCCTGGTTTCAAACATGCGTGGAGTACAGAAAATGCTCTTATCTGTGACATCCTTCTAGCAGCACGCGCAGGTGCAGCATCCTGGCTGCTCTCCTCGGATTTATCAGCAGTCAGAGATGCCTCTGGCTGGAGGGGGAGCGTGGGGGTTGCTCACTGCTTTGTCCATGAACCCCTCCAGCCCTGTGAGACCATGTTTCAATGAGCCTGAAGCAGCTGTTGGCTCCTGGTTCAGCTTGGTTCTGCACAGGATCACTCCAACCCATCGGCCTGTCCCTACACCTTGTCATCCAGTTCAAACAGGGCAGGGATTCGGCAGCAGCTCTGAGCATGGCAGAGACAAGATGCTACTTTGGTGGTGAGAGGATGGGGCAGAAGGCCTGGGGTTCCTCTTCGTATGGGCATCTACTATGAGGAAGGCACGAAGGCTTTGCCTGTGGCTCCCCAGAAAGGCCAAGCTGCATTAGGCAGGGAGGGGAGATGCAAGCTGATCCGTGCAGCGAGGTAACACGTGTGTCCATCTCCCAAGCTCTGGGCAAGGGGCTAAGATTCCTGTTTTTGCAGATACACTTTGCAGATGCCTCCTTCCAAGAGAAGACAGGAGCACAAGAGATCAGAAGGACTGTTATCTCAGTGGCATTTCCAAAGGCAGACTGCAAGGGGCAGGTGCTCCTGCTCTCAGAGATGGTGTTTCAACCACAATCCCCTTTCTCTTTGAGGAATAGTGATGTTACGCTCGCCTGCTGACACCAGAGACACAGCAAGTGATACAAAAGGAGCTGAGTGGGGGAGACAGTGCACAGCCCTGGATGGAGTGCCGCATGCTTCGAATGAAAATGGGTGTGACGCAGTGGGGGATGCAGAAGGGTGGGCTCTAGGAACAGGGTGTAGTAACTCTGCTGGCTGGTGGCTCTCTGGAGGGTTGTGGCATATCCGTGCAAGGGGGTAGATGATGATAGTCTGGGATCAACTAGTTAAGGTCATCTCTTCTTGACAGGGATTGCCAGGATTGCACATCCTGAGGCCTCTGCCTTACCTTGCAGTTAATCTGTGACTCTCCTTCCCTCACCAGTGTGCACATCTTGCCACAAGAACACGTGAATTACTAGATGAGTAATGAAGAACTTGACCAGCTCTAATGACCCATTACAAGCAACCAAGGCTGAGGAAGGAAGCCACAGCTTGGAAGCTGACCAAAGGATTCGGTGCATCTCTATCACTTCCATTATGTACACACTGGCCGCTGCTGCTGCCGCCACCACTCCTGCCCTCTGTGTTTACAGCTGGACACTGATGCACAGGTCTTGCCGTGCTGCTCGCTGCTTACTGCATCAGCTGCTCCCTTCCCCATCACGCGCCCAGGCCCCGTGTGCGTGGCCAAGCACTGCCGACCAAGGCACGGCCCATTCGCCTCCAGCAAGGAGAGGCACAGGAGCAAGAGTCCCTACGCAGCAGGCACGTGCACAGCTTTGCCCTGACAACCCACTGCGATGGGAGGTAGGTTTGTTTGCTTCTCCAGGCATATCTGGAGATGAGATGCTGGCCAGAGGGGCCTGTGAAGGCAGGTTGGCAGGGGGAGCATCCTGTTCACAGCGGAGCCTCAGCAGCCATCGCGCAGGGTAGGATTTCAAGGGGCTGTTCTCCACAGTCACTTGAATGAAAGCACAATGTGAGGTTATTCCAACCCAACCTTGTGTTAAGCTCTGCTCTGGACACAGCCCAGCAAGCCACAACCCACCTTGTGTAGAACGCCTGTTCTGACCCTGCCCTCCGCTCTCATCTGTTATGCCAAACAGACGTGCCATTTCCCTCCAAGAACACCATCTATCAAGTGAACTCCCACGGCTGCCTGAGCGTGCCGAGACCAGCTATGCAGCCTCGCTCTCCTCCCTTCAGAGCCACCTCCATCATCCTGGCTCACAGCAACTGTTCACCCTCCCTGCGCTGAGCCCACCTCGTCTCTGCCCGGACAGACTGGGCCCCCCGCAGAAAGTCCTTACCGTGTCCCCATCCTCCAGTGAGGCCAGCACGAAGCAGCGATAGCTCAGGTCTTGAGACAGGGGCTTGTTGTAGAAACCTTTGTAGTTCTTCTCGTCCCCCAGCGTGAAGGTCTCGGGCAGCACATCCACTTGAGCAGCAATGTAGGGCTTGAGCCTGTCTGCTTGGCGTCGCTGGCGCCGGCTCTGACTCCCCTGGCTTATGGCCTCCAGCAGCTGGGGACAAACAAGGCACATCACTACTGCCTCCCTGAGCGTGACACCACCTCACGCTGTTCCCTTACCAGCGGTGGGACTCCGCAGGGTTGGAAGGGAAGGGAGGAGACGACGTGGCATTCAATTTGGACGTGGTGGTGCAAAGAAACCAGAGGGATGTGTTATCTGTTTAGGCACTGCTGGGACACCCGTCTGCAGGCCCTCACTGTGAGCACCTCTGCCAGGAGCTCAGCCTTGGGAAAGTCCTGAGCCCTGGGTTGCTGACAGGGCGAATGTTAGGGCTGGGACAGCCTGGCTGCACCCGTCAGCCCGAGTGAATGCATCCCAATGGGCTGTGAGGGAACCGGGCCACGTTCTGTGGCCCAAATACTGGTACGGACAGCAACTCACGCTCTCTACGGACATTGGATGTGAATTACAGCTGATGCTGATGTACAGGGAAAAAGTGACACTTGCTGTGTCTTTCTCTCCTGTCAGTGCTTCGATATTTCACCTGCTGCTGGGTTGCAGGCAGAGCTTTGTGTAAATCACACAGAATGATAACAGATTTCATGGGATGTTCAGAGTAAAAATGGCAAATTTCATAGTCAGCCACAAATTCATGAAAAAGGATATAAACACACAAAAATTCAATTACACTGCTAAGAAAGACTCTCAGATGTTTAAAGATGTTTTTCTAATGAATAAAAACGAATATCAGGCTTGGAACAGAAATTCTAATTTAAAATGAAGAAGGAGGCATGAAATACATTTCACACACGAATGTATCAGTGCAGCGTTGTCAGGGCAGACAGGGAACCGCGCGGGGCTGAGGACAGTGATGTGCACACAAAGCCACGCTGCTGAGCACAGCTCACTCCCTCTGAGGAGGAAAAGCTGGGTAAGGCACCCCTGCTCTTTCCCGCTCATAGTCCATCCTTGCCCTGTTATGAATACTCATGTGGGAGCAATTTAGGAAAGCTATAGCTTGTCACTGCAATATCACAGACAGACACAAAAGAGACAGAGAAATCACAGTTTCACAAATATCCTTGTAACCACAGGGGGAAAGGCAGAAAGGTAGTCTTTGGACGGCGGAGTTTGCGTCTTACGCACATCGCTTGTGCCTTGGCTGAAATTACGGCTGAGCTTTTTGGGGCAGAAAGCACAGCTGTATGTGTACGAAACCTTAGGGGTCCAGGTGTGGTTGAGGTTGCTGGATGTTACAGCCACCTATATGCGTAACACACACCCCAAAAAGCTGCAGCAGAAGAAATGCTAGGCTTGCAAAAGTTCAGATCCTGAAGAATTAGAAAATTAATACTGCCTGTGCAAAATTAATTCAGCTGTCTTACGTAAGCGCATTGTGTTCCAATCCTTGGCTGCACAGTCACATACTGTCTTTTCTGTAACACCCCTGCTCTGTTCAATACACAGGACAGACAGTGCTTAATCAAAGAGCCGCTATTCCGTATTTTGTTTTCTTCTTTGCATTATGCAGCCCGAGGCCTTGTTTATTGCTTACTATTCAAATCCATCTCTGAAGACAAAATTAATAATTTCCTCGTGGGCTTTTCTATGGTGCTGATCACTATAATATTACAAGTGCTTCACAAGCATTAACGATCTTATCTTCCAAACATCTGTATGAGGTGAGATGAAAGCGATTATCCTAATTTTACAGATGGAGAACAGAGAGGCATGGACATTAATGCAAAAAATTGTCCACTAATTCTGAATGTCAAATTGAAAAGACACCGGCTTGTTTTGTTTTTAAAGAAAACTTAGTATTTTTTTAAAGCACTAACTGTATCCAGCAGAGCTCCTATTGAATTTCCCTGCAGCTGGGGATGCTTAGGCTTTGCAAATGAGGCTCCAGGATCTCAAACTGAGCACTCCAAAAAACCAGAACATGCAAGACAGTGGCTGCTAATGAAAATTTTGTTTTAAATCATTTGAGTGGGTGAAACAGAGAAGAAACCAGTTCTCTTGATAGTTTTCAACCACCTGAAGCTCAAAACCAAACCATCCTTTCCCATCTAGTCGTCTATTTTTGTGACATTTTCCAACTTCTGCAATGAAACGATGCAGGAGAACTACGGATGATGGTTCTCCATCACACAATTGTGCTTCATGTGCAGAAACAAATCCACCCATATGTGGCGTAAGCTGGCACCCCATGGAAAAGACAGTGCAATCACATAATTAAAGATTAATGATAAGCAGTGGCTGACTTACAGCTTCTAACACTTTTTAATTTCTGAGTGCTTCAAGCTCGCAACTTTTTTCTCTTAATGGGCCCTTCTGTGTGTGGTTTCTCAGAATTCCTCTTCATTACTTTGGGGGTGGTGGTGTGTGTGCGGACAAAAGAGCCCCCAGACCCCTTGTGTGGGACTCTTCTGACGCCCACACATGTACTGCACTACGGTGTTGGAGGGCTCCTGCACAGAATAAGCTGCATCTTGGGGTGAATGGGCTGGTGAATGCTGAAAGTCCTTAACAAGCACAACTGAAGGGACCTCTGCAAATTTTGTTAGATACTAGAGTAAACTCTTCACCCAAACTGCCACAGGAGCTGTCCTGGGCAGAGCTCTGAGACACTGAAGTGTGGTCTCCCAGTGGGGCACGTCCTGGGAAGTGGCTCCGGCCCCTTCCACCCACTGTGCCCAGCCAAGAAAAGCTGAGTGGGCAACGCACATCTCACAGCCCCCCATCCCTGATGGGGATGCCCCGGTGTTGCTGCGCCCATGCTTTAGCCAGAAGGCCTGGGCAAAGCGTGCTGGGCCACCTGGGAGCCACTTCTATGACAGCAGCTGCTACAGACTCCTACCTGGTCCAGCTCCATCTCGTCAGGCGTCCGCCACCGAGCGGTAGGGCTGCTGGTGCTCTGATCCGCTGGCACAACCACAATGTAGTACCACCTGGGAAGGAAGGGAAGCGTAAGCACTGGGCCCTAAGTCATCTCTCTAGCAGGTCACTGAATAAGACGTGCCATATGCCTCCCACGGATGACCTGCTCCTCTCCCTGCCCTCTGAGCAGCAGAAGGGTTCAGTAAGGAAGGGACCGGTTTTCCAGCTGCACCAGAGAATATTCCTGTTAGTGCTCATTAGGTTAATGAAGATCTACAGACTGTGCTCCAGAGGGTGGTGGAGGAGCTGTGAGAAGGACATTTATATAATCGGATTGCAGAAAGAACCCTGGGGGAATAGTGCTTCTGCACAAGGATACCACAGTAACGAATAAGACTTCCACAAACTTGCTTTTTTAATCTCCTTGAGGCTTTAGGCATTATTTATTTAAAGGATATTATACAGTGGCAGAGAAAGTCCCTCCTGATCCTCAGCTGTGATTTTGCTGGTAGCATCTGGAGCAAACCCACTAGGGTGAGGGCAAACTGTCAGAGAATTGTCTTAATTTTATCGCACGTAAATATTTGCTCAGAAAGAGCCAGCAGCGAGATCACATGTTACAGGTAAATGCCTGTACAGCTTAAAGGCTCTGTACCACAGCGTGCTCAGAAATTCACTCCCAGGTTACAAAATCCAAAGATTGGCAGAGGTCTGTCCTGCCTTATTCCCCGTCTCTAGCCTCCCACCCAGGCATGGCACCTACCTAACCGGCACAGTGGTCTGCACTTTGGGAAGTGTGAGTGTGAATTTTCCTTCCTGTATGTACTTGTTTGTGGCGATGGGTTTGCTTTGCAAGACGTCCGGAGCGGTGCGGATTGAGACAAGGTGCTGGAGCCCCCCAGCACTGCTCCCACGGTTCATTAGCACAAAGGAATAGTCCGTGTCAGGCTGGAGGTCACTTATGAGTTTCTTCATCGAGTGGCCATCCACCTCCACACTCTGGCTATTGTACAGAATCTGAAACGGGAAAAAGACACGCTCATTCAGCCGACAGATGCTGATGAAAACACACTCAAAATAGCAGCGTTAGAGACGACAATTTGGCTCTGGGCCCTCCCTCAGGTGGTTCAGCCACTGTGTGCTTTGTAAACAGCCATAAATCTTCCGTTAAAGAAGACCAACCCCCCAGCAGAGGGTCAAACTGTGCTCCCTGCGCCTCACAGTGACGGAGCAGAGAGGGTCAAAGCCCGGGCGGCCGGTGCCAGCGGTGAGGCTGGTGGTGGCACACGTGCTGCGTTTCAGGGCCAGCTGGGGGGAGGAATCCAGATGGCCATGCCTTGCCCTTCCGTGGAGATGAATGGGTCCTTCATCTCCAAAGACACAAAGAAAAGGACTTTCTTTCTTGTCTCTCGAGGCTACAACACACAATACGTTTTTGGTGTAAAATCCCGTCTGCTTTAAATTGGTGTCACTCCAGCATCGACCAGCTGATGCCGGATGGAACGGTTAATGCAGAGCAACCCCCTCCCAGCAAGGTGACCAGGGTGGGGGTGGGGGGTTACACGCCTCACCAATGATCTGACAAATTGGTACCCGAAACAGCAGCTCTGCAGGTGTGACACCCCGTTGCCATGACAACAGATGCTGGTGCAGCGCCAGCCATGGGCAGGAGATCAGCGCTGCTCTTCTTGCCGCGCTTGCCGCGAGGGGCTGCTGGGCAGGGCAGGGCTGCTGGGGGCCCAAGGCAGCCCCCACGCACAGCTTCCTCCCTTGGGCTGCTAGCTCCTCAGCTAATGACATTTTCTCAGTGCCCTGTTGCAGATACGCAGGCTCTCCATCCCCCCGACGCATGGGCACTGCTGTACCAGCCGCACCAAACTGCCCGTCTGCCCAGGGAACCTTGATCCTGGTCTTTTTGGAACAAGCCCTGTACCCTGAAACCCTGGTGCTGCCTCTGCAAAGCCAGAAACTCAAACAGTACCCGGAGACAGAGACAAATGGGGTGTGGAGAACCAGAGAGATCAGAGGTTGTGCCCCGGCTGTGACAAACCAGCACGTTTCCTTCCACTGGGTGACTGTCCAGTGTGGCAGGGAACGCTGGATTCCTGATAGCGGTGCAGAGACACAGCATGTGGAAAACTGGCAATGGCAGAGCTGGAGCATGGTCAGCCACGGCAGCTATTGCGTGCCACAGGCAGAGACCACACAGTAAAAAGTGCTCTTTCCAACAGCGGCCTTGAGAGAGAGGACAGCTCCATGGAAGAAAAATTACTTGAAGTAAAACGGATTTTTCACCAGCTGAGCCCGTCGACTGGGCTGACGCAGGCAGCAAGGGAGGGACCAAACTTTCCTTCCAAGTCACCTTTTTAGCAGGTGGCAGAAATCTGCAGAAAGCTGCCAGCTCCCTGGGACAAGGGCAGCTGATCAGCACTGCTCTCACAATTAGTGCTGGAGCTGGGAGGAGGAGGAGGGAGGCCCTGGAAAGAGATCTGAAGGACAGCGGAGCCCCAGCTTTTTTGCCGCTGAGAAGAGACTCTCAGCAGGTAACAGAGCAGCAGTGAGGAGCCAGCAGTGGAGGAGAGATGCAATCAATCTCATTTGTTGACGCGTTTCACTCATCAGGGACGAACTGCAAAAATAAGTATCAAGTACTAAAATAACAGAGGTTTGCAGGGACAAAGCTCCTGCTTGCTGTCCCATGTGCAGGAAAGGATGTCAAAGGTAGGACGGCTGGTGGGAGTTGTTCTCTGCTGTGACTCCTCTGAAGATATTTTCTCCTTGGCTTTAATCCCTTTCTCCAAAGATACGTACATCAGATGGGTGCTAAAGTGAGCAAAACCCTCCTGGAGAAGGCTCTGGGGAGACCTTATAGCACCTTCCAGTACCTGAAGGGGATGACAAGGAAGCTGGGGGGGACTTTTTACAAGGGCCTGTAGTGATGGGACAAGGGGTAATGGGTTTAAATTTAGTTGGCAGGTTTCACCCTGCCCTGGCACAGAAGTAGGCATGACAAAGACAGGAGTGCTAGACTTTGAGCCATCTTGGCAGCTTTGCTGTCTGTGCCAGCACCACTCCTTGCAATGATACTGGACCTAGTACAGGTCCAGACAGTCCAGCTGAGAGCAAGTCAAGTTGTCCTGGGGGAGCAGCGGGACCTCACTTCATGTGGTCCAACTCAGACTTGACCAAACCCAAGCTTCCAACACTGAGCTACACTGGAAGGATGCAAAGTCCCCCAACAGTTCTGTTGCCTCTTGGATGAGATTCTCGTTTTGAATTCTTCCCTCATAAAGGTATCACCAACTGCTGCTGCATGTGCTCTAGGGAAAACACTCGCCCACCAACTGCCTGCACATGAGGCATCTGCTGGGGACATGGCTGGTCTTCTGGAGCAAGAGGAGGCAGAAGAGATTGTCAGGCATTTCGGTTCTAAGATTCCCTGCTTGCTCTGTACTGGAACTGGCCAGGACAGTCTCTGATTCAGTCCTGATACCAGATGATGACTTCTTACTGCCATGCACAGAAGTTTGTGTCCAAAGACAGTCAAACTGGCATTTGCAATGCTTTCCTGAAGCATTCTCCGCTGTCCCCCCTTTTCACAGTTGCTGTAGCAGTTCTGTGTTCCTTTACCTGCCGTAACACATTGTCTTCTCAAATGTTATGCACCATTAGTTAAGGCCTCTACCCAAACCTTACAATAACGTAAGGGCTCAGACACAGTCCTCCGTGTGCAGCTGAAGATGCCCGGGAGCTCGAGCGGGAATGCTATTTAGAGGTTGCGTCATGGCCCACTGGTAACTACTTAAGTCAGCAGCAAATTTGGCCCAAGGGCTCTGAACTGCCAAACGCTGCTGACTAGCCCATGGATTGCTGAAAAATGTCATTTGTGCTGCTCTCACCCACAAGAGACAATTTGCAAAGCTAGGTGGGTCCAAATGTCACTGCTGAAGGTCTGCTGCTTGATTTCAAGGCAGTAAAGAGCGTATTGAACTGAAAGATGAAAAGACACACAGTGTGTGACACTGGAAAAGATAATGACTCGACGGAGAAGTAGACGAGGTTGTCTTTTTTTGTGGGCAGGAGTAATTACTACATTCCATGGGACACACTGTGAGAAAGCACTGCCCAGTGTTCTCAGGGTTCATTTCTGAACCTGTATTATAGTAATTGCCAAAAGGTGCTGTTACTTCTCCCTATTTGTAGAATACCTTGTGATGCTGCCTTTAACCAATATATCCTCTGTCCTGCTCTTAAGTTGAAGAATGTGTCTCAGGAAAGTGCAGTTTCTCCAAGCAGAAGGTTGTATCTATCTTGCACTTCCCATGAAAGCTCCGGAACATCTTTCTGCAAATATACTGGGATAGAAAAGCCTCTGCTCCACCACAACTGCTGGGCAACATTTTACAAGGAATTTATCTCCCGGACCAGAAGCAGCTGTGAAAATTCCCTAAGGAGAACTCAAACCCTCATTATTGATTTGGTAGCAATGAAAATTCCTAAGGTCTCAGTTCATCCCCTATTAAAAAAAAACTCACCAATCCTGCCTGTGCCTCACTATTCATTGTCAGAACAATATCTACTTTAATTAAATCTGTTAAAGTAGAATATGACACCCTTTGGGACATAGATTTGGCATGAGACTGTTTATCAAGTGTAGATAATACTAATTGTTCCCATGGAGATTTATCTGCTATGCTAGTTACAGTATTAGGCTCTGGCCTCAGCATCTCATGTGCCTGAATTAGAGGAGAGAGGTGAGCCTTGTTTATAAAAACACAACGTCCTGAAGGTTATGGATTTCTTTTGAGTGGCACAACCAAGGACCTGGGGCTGACCCTCTTAGCTCCTGGCCTTGACTCACGTGTGTCTGCAAGTCTGGAAATATTAACAGAAAGGCAACACAATTAGAGAAATACCCTTGTAACACTCTCGTTTGCATGACTGCTCTTCATTTAGCAAGTGGCTAATGCCATCTGCTCCGGTGTCGTCTGAGGGTTAACCCACAGCAGGGGCAGACCCTGAGTCACTGTCTGTGTAAGCAATCGCAGCTACGAGGCTGAGAGGAGGCATCAGCATTACGTCCTTGGCTCCTGGCTACTCCGAACCACCCCGCCATCCTTACGTGGTAGTAATGCTCCAAAGGTCACACTGTCCCTTTCTCGCACTGCGCTGTCAGACAGAGACGTGGGCTTTGTGCCACAAGAATAAGGCAAGATGAACCAGACTGGTGCTTCAGCAAAGTAACAGGGCTCCGTGAACTTCCTTGCGGCCAGTTATCTGAACACTGATCCTAATGCACCCTACATCTGGGAAAGCTTTAAATACCACGAGGTCTTCACAAAAGCCTTGTCTGCTTCACTAAACTCTGCATGTTAACAAGTGCCTGTTATTGATCATGGTAATTCAGCTTCAGGATTTAAACAAGCAGAGTTATTAACAAGGAAGAGGAGGTGATCGCACACTTTGATGTGGATGCAGTTCAAGACCTTCCCCTCACTCCCCTGCTCAGGGATCCCCCAACTCGTGCAGGCCTTGCATTTGCTCTTCAGGCACGGCGCGGCAGGGTGTGTGTGCAAGGAGAAAGGGAAGTCGTGCTGCTCCCACCCCTGGCCACCTCTGCAGAGGCAGCAGACAGCTGCTGAGCCTGAGTCGAAGATTATCCCTGGCGATGTGACACGTGGGTCTTGTTTCTCAAGGGAGAGAAGCTGTACTGAGATCTGCAGGAATTTCTACCACACTCTAGTCTTTTACCCACATCACTGATCTGCACCAGGGGATGGACAAGAGCAGGAAGACATCAGGTCATCAGTGTTGTCTGCAGCCCGGTGGATGACCCTACATCCAGAACTGTGCTGGAGAAAAGAGAGAGCAGCCATTCCTGCAGAGTTCCCCCTGCACTGACACCTCTTGTGCTGCTCACACCTGTAACACCTTCTGGAAGGGTGATGCTGCTTCTGTCCTTCACTCCCTGAGATTGTGCATCTGGCCTGATGCTCTGAAGTAACTCAAAGGCAGTCCAGATGTTTCAGACAGGACGTGTTGCAGAAGGAGTCATTCTTAATTTGATTCAGTGGCTGGTTTTCAGAGCACTTTGTCCTGGTGATCTCTTGCGACTAAATCACATTTCTAACTTTTCACACTTCAACTCCGAGTCAGGCATCAGGACAAGCTTGTGCAACCCCTGCCAGCGTGACCGGCAGGCCCCAGCCGAGTGATACCAGGTAACGAGGTAGTTGAGAAAGCTGATGGGGGGGTGAAGCACTGATTGGGACTGCGTGAACAACCACTGCTCATGGGAAAAGCACCAGTGATTTGGAGTGCCTGACCAGTTTCCATTTCCCTTCAAAAAGGCAAGTAATTCAGGGGCACTATCAAGGGAGGAGTGGGTACTCAGTCAAAGCTGCTATGGTCTGGATGGGTTTCTAGCTGGATGATGAGAGCCAGAAACATGTATTATTATCTCGGAGACATGCCCGCTCTCTGCCTCTGCCCAGCGCATGCCTTCACTGCTTGGCATTTCCTCTTGGTGGGCTTCAGCCAACTCTTTGCACTCCTGTTTTGTTACCATGAGCCAAGTGCTTACTGCCTATTCCACAACTGATCCAACCAGAAAGAAATCAACAAAACTACAACACCTTCTGGACTAAGAAGAGGCAGAGGAGGGAAGGCAAGAAGCAGTGTGCTCTACTGTGTGCCACAGCTCATGAGCGGGTGCTCAAAAGCAAGAGCGGCTACCTAACCTGGGCCTGGCGATCTGATCTCCACAAGACCCCAGGCCAGTGAGCAATGCCCTGCTCATCTTATCTGATGGCCTGAAAACATCATCTGGCAGGTCAAGATGCTGCGTTTCACTGCCCTGCTCACTGCCACAGGCAGAACTCCTTGTCCTCTGCATCCCACCCTTACCTTAAAAGGCACTGCAGATTTATAGGAGTCAGGCACTTCCCAGCTCAGCAACACAGACGTTTTCATGACGGCATTGACGCGGAAGTTCTTAGCAAACACTGAAATGAAAAACAAGATATTTGAGCACTGTAAGGCCAAGTCAGGAGGGAGCCAGGCAGCAGCTTGGCTCCAGCTTCTCTTTGTCTAACTCAGCAGCAGAGGTCAGAGAGTTCAGCTTCAGCAGAGAAGTGAGATGAGGAGAAAAGAGCAGCAGGCTTTTACCAAGTCTCCAGTCTCCAGCGGAGTTTCGCTTTTTGACTAGACTTTCCAGCATCACAGAAAGGAAGTTGTAGGCTGAACTGTAGCCTTCCCCTCTCCCCCTTCCACTCACACCCTCCTGGCCCTTTGCCATGATCAAAGAACAGTGTTGCTCGGGTACTGGATCTGCAGACGATCCTACCCAGCCGTCTGCTCCAGTTCAAGCAAGAGCCTTTCATGTACAAATAAAACAGCAAAGTGTGCCCACGAAGTGACAAAGGCAATTAAGCTACTACCAACGCCCCTCTCCCCCCACACGGCAACTTTAAGGAAACCTCTGTTGAGCCTCCCCTCGCTGAAGCAGGGAGTCACACAGTACCTGATCTCATTAGTCAGAGCAAAGGGGAGTGCAGCCTCATGAACCGAAGCAAAGGTCCCTGTCCTGGAGGCAGAGCTTGCTGTTAGGGCTCGTTAGAGGGACACTTACCTTGCTCAACAGGCATGGTCCGGGACTGGATGCTGGGGCTGAGCGGCCCAACCCCCTTATTGGTGCGGGCCCTCACTTTGATGTCGTAAGTGGTATCGGGCTTCAAATTCGTCAGAGTAATACTTGTGTCCTTGGTGATGTTAAACAGGTCCTGCTGGCTATTTATATCCCTGTATACCACTGTGTAGTTGACGATCTTGCCATTTCTTTCTGCCAAGACTGGGGGGTCCCAGGCAACTTCTGTGGTGGAAGTGGTGAGACCCACCACACGCAGGTTCTGTGGGAAGCCACTTGGCACGTCTTCCGCAGTAGTGATCTCCTTCTCAAACTCCTCTCCTGGGCCAGCTCTGTTCTTGGCAGACAGCTTGAAGAGGTACGTGGCCCCCTTGTGCAGGTTGGTCACAGTGTAGTGATGGTCTCTCTTCCCGAAGTCTATCGTGTTCATCTTTTCCTCATCAAGACGTCTGTACTGCAGCCGGTAACCCAGCAGCTCCCCTACCATCTCCTTGGGTGGGTGCCACTGGATGAGGGCTGTGTTCATGGCTGTCGTGCTAATCATCATGGTGGGCTTCCCCGGGACTGCAACATAAACACACAATGACCATCTATAGCCTGGGAGGAGGGGAAGGAAGGACCGCTTCTGTGCCACTCAGTCCGTGAGGATTGAGGAAAGTGGGAAAGTTCAGGGTGAAGAGGACGACAGACAATTCACATGGATAGAGGCAGACTGACCCTAATCCGGTGGTGAGGGAAGCTGGAGCCAGCCAGCTTTTGGCTGCCATTCTCCCACGTGCTGCCATCTAAACAGGCAATAAACAGCCGTATCCAGCCCCCAAATTCATCCCCTTTTACAGGAAAGGTTTAAGGTACCTCAGAGAGCATCATATTTATCTCAGAGAAGATCTGAATCCTGTCCTCCCAATCAGTGGTCTTCAGACACTCCAGCTAGCGCACAGCACCAGCCCACGCTGGCCCCGGTGCACCGGACCACCACAGACACACGGCAGCCCGAGTCCAGCACCCTCCTCTGTCTGGAGGCAGACACATTTCATCCTGAAACCTTGCAGTTCTACCATCTGCAGAGGCAGCGAGCAGAGCTGGGTGGGCTGTTTGCCATCAGAATACATTTTGGTTTAGCTGATGAGCAGATTCGTGATGTCAGTGTCGATGTGAGAGGTGAACACAAGCGTTCCACAGGATTTTTGCTTATGCTGCACAAGTCAAGGGGTGTTGCCGTCACTCGTTAGGAACTGATGGCTTTAAATTGATGGTTTAATACCTTGATCTCCTTCAGTTAAAAAAATGATGCGTCTTCACATCAGCTCAGATTTGTAAACAAATCAACTGATAGGGAAGATACTCAGAATCAAAGGGATGGGGCCATTGATACGAAAACAAAAGTGGGATTGTAGCCAAACCCAGTTAAATATTCTTGCGCAGTTTTGAAATGTGTGAGCCCACAGATGAGCACAAGGGAAAAACGTATTTGACAGAAATATGCCCGGATTTTGCCATCAGAGGGCGATACCAACACTCCCCTTTGAGGTCAAGCCTGCAGAGAAGCCTGTACAAAGGCAGCTCTGGGGGTGGCTGTGTAGGAATTTAAGACATACAATTATGTTTCCACCGCCAGTGCCATCCTCCTTGCACTCATAATACAATGTCTAACAGCAGCTAGTATTAAGGGACACATTATTTTCAAAGCTGATTCTGAATATTAACTTTAAATGTGCATCATAACGTAGGAAGACCCACTGCGGTTTGCAGTGCAACACTGGGATGTTTAGGAAGCTTTTCCTGTTTATAGGACAGCTGTAACAATTTGATGAACAGAGCATACATCATGGCGAGGCACAAGGGAGACAGCATTTGAGATCGTGACAGTGGAAACTACCTCTGGAGCTCCCTGTATGCAGCGCAGAGGAGATGGCAAGCTGTTCCTTGTTTAAAAGCACCAGGAACAAACGCTCTCAGTTTGCACACGCTGCATTCCCATAATAACGGGTGGTAAATACCATTCCTGTGGCTGGTGTGAGGAAGCAGCAGGATTATCGGTTGTAGGACAGGTCTAGTGAGTGGAAATCCAGGACATGACAGTGTCAACTAGCTGGTGCCACCGCCAAAGGCAAGCTTGACCGCATCCAGAGGAAAGCACCCGATGAACTCCCGGGTGCCCCTGCTCCAGGCCGAGGCTCCTGTGTTGCACTAGGCACAGGGTACAAGTCTCTACTGAGATAGTAGAACCGAACTGGCTGGGATCACCAGGACCTAGAAGCTGTGTCCGCAGCACTCCTATGGCAGGATTTGTTGCATTCCAGATTTTGCCGTGGCTCTAGGAGCAGCCGGGCTCATCTCTGTAAGCCTGGGGAGGCAGCAGCAGCAATGGCCAGGGGGGAGCTGAGAAGCACCTCTGAGGAGCCCTCTATGCCAGGGCCCATCCCAAGCGGCACTGCAGTCACCGCAGGAAGCAAGAACTGGCACTCGCCTACGGGAACAGCATGAGGACAGGCCATGGCTCCAAAGCAGAGGGAGGGCCTGGGCTTTCAGGCTTCCTCTTCCCAGGTCTCTGGACTACGCCGGTGAGCTCAGACCCATGAGTTTCACTGCTCTCTCACAGGCCCCGGCAGTATCTGTCCATCTGTTTGCTGCACTTTGCTCAGGCGATCCAGTGGCAGAGCCTGTAAGTAAGGGCTGGAGATCACAAGAGTCTGTACCTCTGCAGCGTCTCCAGCCCTCTCGCTTCTTCCTGTACAGGTGCCTTGGCCATACTCCCCATTCACCTCTTGGGAGGTTTTACCACCGCCCCTCTGAGGCTGTGGTATCTGCTCCCCACACTCACCTGCCCCTGTGGTGGTGATGACTTTGGGCTTGCTGCGGGCACCATCTCCTTTGGTGGTGTAGGCAGCAACTGTGACGGAGTAGGTGGTTTCCGGCAGCAGGCCTCCAATGACCGTCTCCTGGGACAGCATCCGTGAGGTGGAGAAGAGGCAAACGAGAAGAGCAAATACTTGTTACTGGAGTGAGCAAAAGGAGGGCACTGGGGTCAGCGTCTCCAACAGCAACGCACCGACACACTTGCTGGCTCACACTCAGACTGCATCCCAGCACACACGTCTTGCACAGAGCCAGCAAACAACAATCGCTGCCACTCCAACACTCACCTGCCGGATTTCACCCCCTGCCTCTAACACTTGGCTGCTCCAGAGACCCACCAGCAACCTGTACCAGCGGCTATATGCTCCCACGGCCTCTGCCAAGAGGGAGATCTGCTCCACAGATGGTCCCGCGTGAAGCCAGAGCCACGTGCCACAGCAAGCCCGAGAGCAAGAGGACCGTGGAGCTGTGAACCAGAGCAAAAGCCAATTCAGCTTGCTGCGGAAACCTCTTGGGGGCTAATTTGGGGATTTTTAAAGTCATGTCTTGCAGCAGAGCTGCAAGAAACACAGAGAGGTAGTGCAGGTAGCAGCATGGCCACGGCAGGTGGGGGGCCCTGGGCCAGGAGAACCTGCAGCACGGTGTTCACCCTCCCGGCCATGTACAGGATGTAAGGATGTAAGGGGTCAGTGCCAGGCGTTGGCCAGACCTGGAGGGAAAAACCTGCGCCGTGGGAGGTCTGGGAGGAGGGCGGACTGGCAGGGTGCTAGCACCCTACCATGCTTTGGCTTCCTCTGGGCAGGAGGAGGGCATGGCTCTGCACTTCAATGCGAGATCAAAGAGGGGAGCACTGCTCCTCCCTCCTGGCCTCCAGTAGCAGCAGGACTCATGCCAAGCCTGGCTGGCCAAGCCTGCAGATGAGCCAGCACAGCAACCTCAGCAGCTCCCAGCAGTGCTCGGCGAGCTCAGGGTAGGTGCCCCTGAATTGCATTCATCTGCGGGTGCCATGAAAGGGGCCGGGGTCATTAGCACTAAAAACCCATTGGTTCAGGGAGCAGGAGACAACTGGGCTGGATAGGGAGCTGGGGGAGCTTTTGGGAAGGAGGCAGAGGATGTGTGGTGGTTATTTACCCTTTCAGACAAGAGCAGCAGAGTTGGAGAGGATTAACCTCGAGTTGCTGAGGACAGGTATCATGAGCAGTGTTGGAGGCTGCTCTGGGGGTCCGGTATCTGCCTGGGGATCCTTGCCAGCTTTGGGGGTACAGCGGGCGCCTGCAGTTGCCCTCAGAGCACAGCCAGTCTCCCATCACTCACTCGCACTAACACCCACGCCATTAAACCTGCTGATTTCCAGTCAGTGCTGCTGGTTCAGGTTACCTGCCCAGGCTTACTCATCAAAATCACCGTGTTACCATCGCAGAACCAGCCAGCCCAGAGAAAAATCAACAAGCACCAACAAGAACCCCACCAAAATCACCGTGTGAACCAAAGTCCGATCCCAACTCCGCCCCTGCAGCAGATTGTGTGTGCGGGTGAGTGGACGCGCAGTCCGATCGGTGCCAATGGGCCCGCGGGGGAAGCACTCACACAAAACCTGCAGACTCTGAACATCCCAAGAGAATTCACTCCTCCCAAATCCATGCAAAGAGAAATTCTCACGCAAAAGCATGCCACCGGGAGCAAAGCAAGCGAGCTGAGAGGAGGGGAGAGAGACGAGGGATGGATGAAAGAAGGTCTGATTGCATAATGTAAACACAGTGCTGTCATGTCAAAGCCACTCCGAGAAAGAATCCTCCGTATAACGCAGGAGGAGAAACGCATGGTGCCGGGGAAGCTCACAGTAGGGCACGTAATTGAATTGCTGACTCTAAAAAGGTCATTTTCTAGTTTGTTCCTCCAAATTTGTATTTCAAAATTATGTGGAAAAAATTGGATTTAACTGTTTAAATGTGATTGTTTTCTTATTACTATCTGTGTTTCAGGCAAAGGTCACGGTTGAGAGTGTAGGTTATTTTTCATGACTATGATCAATGTGGTTTAAAGAGAACACATCTAATTTTACCACGTAACTCGGTGGGCCAACTACTACAGAAAGTAGGCTGCACCTCCTGAGTCGATCACTTGAGCCTGCCTAAAACTGCACTGCAACAAGCTGGAAATACAGATTATAGGAAACGTCAACTGCTTTTCTGCATTTAGTAGCAATCTAAATGCCAATTTTCTCTGGATTTGCTGCCTGCGGAAGGTTTCACAATGTAGCTCTCCAGCCTCATTAACGGAGTGAAAAGGATGTTTTGACAGCATTTTGTCTACAAAATTCACAAATCGATTTACCAAATCCCTCTTTTCCAACCTGGAATACACACAAGTGGTACTTACATGGTCCACGGAGTCCTCAGCTCTCCACTGATGGGGAGAAAGGAAGGAGGAGAGAAAAATGGAGACACGGAATTTTAAGGGGCAACATGTAGGAAGGGGATGACAACGACGACAACAGCAGGGGTTAGCAGGACGGGGTTGGGGAGGGGTGGGATTACAACACTTATACACAGAGGGTCACTTGGCACAAGCTGTGCCAAAGGAAGAAATGGCATAGAGCAATTTTCTACATGCCGCTAGCCTGCACAGTAGGTCTGAGATCATTCACACAAACAGGGGTGAAGAGTTTCCTTCTCTTACGGATGGAGAGGTCACCACTTCCTAACACCTTTGGCTTTGCACTTTTCTGCTTCTTCCACGAGCAGCAGCAAGAAGGGACAGCTTGTACCAACAAGGGTCTGGGGCTGACTGCTGCCCCCAAAGGTCACTCACAACAGTTTTGTGGCCTCATCTGTTTCTGTCCTAGCCATCCTCCAGCTACCACCTCCTGTTGAGAACCAAAGACCCCAACACAGAACTCAGAGGGCACTCTCTGCAGGGAAGCACCAATGCAACATTTACAGAGCTTCTCTTTCCTGTATCCTCTGCAAGAAAATGCTCAGGGGGCCTCAGAAAACAGAAGTGCCGTCTCTTGTAAATGGTGCAAGACAGGCGGAGGAGATCTTATGGAGCTCCACACTAAGTTGCCCCTCTCCAACGGCGCTGCGTGGCTCGGAGCAAGGCTCAAACTGGTGCGTGGACTGAGGAGACAGCTTCTCGCTCCCAGTCACACAACACCAAACGGCAAAACCTCTTTTGGCAAGAGCAGCCCGGCAGGTAAGACTTCCACACAAACCATTTCCCAGCAAAAGCCCATGTGGATTCCCAGCCACGGCAGCTCAATTAGGGCTCTGAAGAGGGAACATGCTGGTTTCTGGCTGGATTTGGGGTTCTAAGGCATCAAAGCTGCATTGGGGTGGTGAGACTTAGCAGAGCTTGGCTGCTGCCACGCATGCCCGTAGCACTGCTCTTTGTGGCTGACGCACCAAAGGAAGGTTTGCAGAGAGCACAGCACTCTCTCTCAGCCAAGGCGATGCGTTACCTCTCAGGTTACTCAATCTGCCTGGAGGAAGCATCGGTCGATGGGTTCAAGCACGGAGATGAAAGTGGAAGATAGGTATTATCGCCCCTGACTCCCAGTGTGAGCCTTGGCAAGTGGTGCTTCTGCACCTGAGCTGCCAGCTGTGCAATGGCGCTCGGACACTGACCTCCCCAGGACATGGGGAAGCCCAGCTAATGCTGCTGCAGTGCCCGGGAGCCTGCACGTGCGGCAGAAGTACTAAATGGTATTAAAGCTACAAGTTGCCTTTTGTACTCAGGCTATTTGAGGTGGCTCTTACAGGCTGCAGCCTATCACAGTGGGAGTATTCTCCTCAGCAGTAAAATACACGGCATACCTTCAAAATATTTGTTTTTTAATTCTCTAAATTCAGAAAGAAGCACCTATTGAAGAAATGTTCCTCTTACGTTTTATTATAGTTAACTTACTTGATGCCATGAGACAGCAGCAGAATTATCCCCCTAAACCATCTTAAAATTTAATTTCAATGAAGAGGTCAAGTTGTCCCTAAAGACTTCCTATAAAGTCAAGGCCCTCGCTAAGTATTACGGTCACTAAAGGCCCTTTTTCCATACATGCCTTGGCGTTACTTCCAGTGTTGCATGCTTAGTTCAACCCAAGTCATTGCCGTCGATGTCCTCCCTGCGCCAGCCAGCCCACACCATGGTCAACAGTCACAGACTCTGCCCTGCTGCTCTAAAACCTGGCAAAAGTCTTGCTACAGGAAGGATACGCGGCCTGGTAGCTCTTTCTCCCAGAAGCACGCTTCTGCTCCAACACCATGTCCTTGGTGGATGGGAGCCACGTGGATGGTAACACCCCAACCTGCCTCCATAGAGCTGCAGGAGCAGAAGGTGACACCCCACTGCAACGGTGGAGCAGTCCTGGGCTCGGGAGGCTACTCAATCTCAGCCTCTCACACCACAGCAGGGAGTTTATCACCCACTAGGATTTTAGACCTAAGCGTTTAATGTTCAAACTCTGTTTGCTCTTATGTTTCAGTGGACTTTAATCTTGCATCAGATCAGAGTGCAAAGAAACGCCTTGAGATCTGTGCTGGAGGACTAACAGTGAAAAGCCAGGCCTGGTATGAATTCAGTTTCATTATGAAAACATCATCTGCAGATCAAAACATTTCCTTCCTTAAACTAGCTCAATTGCTTCTTAACTGTTTAAGGTTGGTCAGTAAGACAAATTGATCTGAAAAGCCCAGGAGCTGTCATAAAAAGAACTCAGACAGTGCTGTGTGCACGAGGCAGGATGGCTCAGGGAAGTGCTAAAGCTAACAGTGTGTATTTATGGCAGCTGCAATGCCTTAACGTTTCATTTTACACTTCAACACCACGCAGCGTAGTCATGTCTCACCAGGGAACGGCTGTTTTCCCTGACCATGGCTCTTGCAAAAGGCAGACTCAAGCCCTCCTCAACAGCCCCAGCTATGGGACGTGGATATTGTGGTTTTCCCGCAGATCTTTCTCCTCTCTGCTTCAGCGGCTGTGGTGCAACAGTGAAACTCCAGATGTAAACTCGGGTGCTCAGCTCGTGGGATGCAGAGGGGTCTGAGGGCACCAGCACTTCACCTCTGTTCATTACTGAAATGCTTCCTGGAGGACGCCTGCCAGCGTTGTTCCGCTTACGAAGCAGAGTACATCTCACCTAGGTGCATACACATGCACGAAGAGTTGTTCCAAGTACAGTCAGATAAAGATCCCTGACTATCACCCAGTGAAAGAGGGAGGCTGTAAATTCCTCTGTGTTATGCCTGGGGTGGGCACTGCCCAGGGAGAACAGGAGTCTCTGCTTCACCTTTCTTCTTTGATCTCAATCCAACAGCTGCAAGTGCTTGCTGTTACTTCTTCCTGCTCTTCTGGAGCAAGCTGGTGGGACGTGCACTCGGCCTGCACGCTGGATGGAGAAGTGCCACCTGCGAAGACCACACAATCTCCCTGTGAGCCTGCAGCCCTTCTTGTGGGCAGCACGCCTCTGCCCTGGCATGACTGCAGAGCAGGAGGAGGAGCTGGCAGGAGTTTCTCCTCCACAAAGCCTGACCTCCCTGTACCCAGCGGTACGCAGCCAGCCCCCAGCAGCGGAAGCACGGCAAAGCCCTCTGGGCCAGCTGGATCTGCAGGGGGCTGTAAGCAGCGAGGCTAACATGCACGCCATATCCCCAGAGCGGTGCGGGCAGCAGGCTCCCCGGCAAACATGCCGCACAGTTGAGGACAGGAGCAGTTGTCAAGGCCAGACTGCGGCATGAGGAGAAAGTCCCCCCCTCAAGATGTTCCAGTGTGGGCTGACGACAAGCAGGCTGGGAGCAGGACACAATAGATCAACAGCTAGAGTCATGTAGGCTCTAGGTGCCTGTCTTGGAAAGAGCAAACAAGAGCCACGCTTGCACAGGAACCCAAACGGGAAGGTCTGTCCCCCCGTCCCTGCTGCCACTGCTGTGCCTGCTGCTGCAGGCTCAGCACTGCTGCCTGGCGCTGCTTGGCGCTGAGCTCTGCAGGGCACGCAGGACTGGCACCTGGGAAGGGATGGAGGGGATCAAGCCCCCTGCTCCTCCTGACATCCTGACATGCTGCAGCTGCCTGGGGATTGGAGACCAAGGGAAGCAGGTGGGCCCCTGCCCTCCCCTAAAGAACCTAATGCTTGTGCCCCATGGTCCCGCTACGCCCCGTTCCCTCAGCCAGCGAGGACCTGTATGAGCGGTGGAGCACAGCCGAGACCCTGCACTGGTGCCCCTGTTCCCTTCAAAGGCTCTCGGTGTGTTGTGCACAACACCCAGGGCACTGAAACGAATCTTCTGCCGTCGCCCACCACAGGACCTGGCTGAGCCATGATGGGCACAGCCTGAGCAGGAGGTGGTGCAGGTATCTGACCCGGCTCTGCAGCGTACACATGCTCCTCCACAGGGCACAGTCACATTTGCTTCTCCATCAGCCTGTCAGTAGGAGGTGAGAGCTCGGACTGGAAGGCGCAGAGAAGTCTGACGGAGGTAATCAGTCACAGGCGCAGCCACAGAAGGGAGGGAGAGGCCTCGGCTCCGTCGCAGGACCTTCCTCACAACTGATTACTCTCCCTAGGCAGGAGGCTGTAAAATAAAATGTGATCTCTCCAGCACCAGGGCCCCCACTTCTTTGCTGATGTTTCAGTCCTTTCCACTCAAACGGTTTTGAAAACTCAGAATCTATATTATCTGCATAGCTAACATCTCCATTCCCTTTTCTTTTTCCTTTTATCTTCATTTACTCTCTCTCTATTTCTCATCTTCAATCAGGAAAATTTCATGAGTCAGTTTTAATACCAGTGTCTTCTTACCATCTGCAGGGAGCAGATTATGTGGTACCATACCTCCTCAAAACCAGCAGACAGCCTGGCTAGGCAGGGGGAGGGGCTCTGCCTACATGTCCAGAGAATTTCTTCTCTGACCCCAGATTTTCAATCAGTTTACTTGTCTCCTTGTGCACTGGTACAAATGTTTATGAATGTTTATGAGTACTGAACTGTGGCTATATTCTGGCCATCTTCATCCTGTGACCTTCAGGGACAGGTGTTCCAGTGAATCTTTCTGTTTTCTTCCATAGAAAATAACTCCTCCAAGACTACTCATTAAAGTTTGATCTGGCTGTTTGCAAAGACACGCACTGCTGTACTGAAAGATGGCAGCTCTTACACAGGGTTCTTCAGCTTCTGGAGCAGATGTATTTCATCACAAGCACAGGTCATGCCTGGCTTCTCACTCTTTTGGGAAATAAAGATCTCTTCTGCCAAGCCAGTGAAACCTCTTCCCTGCAGGGTCATCATCAGTTTACGCCAAGTGACGTGACTCCTGCAGAGCAGTCACTTCTCTGCAACCATCTTTTGGCCTTCACTTCCACCCAAAAATCAGAGCGGATGAGTCCAGCACCATACACACCAGAAAAAAATATCACAGCAATCCAGAACCTTCCCACATAAATTCACCAAATATGAAAGACTGGTAGGTGGTCTGACAGGCCAGGAAACTTCCAAGCAACTTGCCTCCTTGATGCACACGTTCAAAATAATGCAAGATCCAGCACTCCTTGTAAAGTTTCTGGCTCTGGCATCCTCATTCCTGCACATTAGCATGGGGTTTCTCTCTCTGAAATGTACGAGTAAGGAGTGATAGCAGAACTGGCTGGGCAAGCATAAAATATTTGACAACACCAACAAGAACACCACTGCCAACTTCGCCCACCTACGCTTGGGACCAACCCGTTAACTCCAGACTCCAGCTGAACAACACAGCATCAATTGTTCAAACAACACAGAAGATTATATCCTCCTGGAATAAGTAAAGGGCAGTAAGCAGCTTTTCTAACGATTAAAATAAAGCAACATCTGAAACATAAACAGAGATGTGCCCCAGACAGCACCGCAAGGACCCTCAAAGCCATTTCTCTCTTGAAAGTTTTCCCCTTCCACATTATTACTGAGTTTTACCCTTCAGAATATGAATGGGGAGTAAAGCCGCCGCTGTGTACTGCACTCCCCACTGACAAACGTATAAATGATTCACAGCTGCGTTCAGGAGACAGATCAATTAATCGTTGCAGCTCTCCAGTATTTATATTGGGCATCATTCAAGCAAGCCAGCTCTGAATCGATTACTCGTCGCTTCCAACAGCAGCATATCCTGTACTTCATTTATACGATTATCTTTGTTGAGAACAGCATGGGTCATCCAGGACGAAGGACCCTTACTCCAAAGAAGACTTGAATTTCATCACAGACAGGGCAAAAACTTCCCCGGACCTTTGGAAACGGCAACTACGCTGGGCTGAGCAGAGTGCGTGACCATGCCTGGAGCAGCGTGTGGGAACAGGGCCTCAGCTGACAGCCAGCGGGGTACCCAGAAGATCGCACAAGTACGAGCTGATTGTCACACCGGGATTGCAGAGGGCTGGTGTTACGGGTGATGCCGGCCTGCACCTCACCTCCCCCTCCCCTCGCCGGCCTTTCCCAGACACAGCTGGCTTTGGGTACAGTTTGGTTTCAAGAGGCAATGCAAGGTTGAGTCCCTGCCTTGCAAAAGCACGAGGAAAAGGGAGGTTTTGCTGAGCCAGGAGGGCTGCCCTGCCTGATGTGCTGTGCCCACCCAACAGTGCAAGGCCACCCCCACGCCCCACAAGCAGGCAGCAGCCCCATGGGCTCGGCCAAGAAAGAAGCTTCACCCTGAACATGGTCAGCAGCACAAAAGAAGCAGACTCAAGGCTTACTTCCAACTCTCCCATGGTTCATAACCTGACTGGCAAAACACAATTTCCTCCAGCTGCAGTCTGCACAGGATGTGGCAGGCAGAGGTGCATGTCGGAGGAGGAGTAAGAGAGAAGCATCACCCAACACGTCATCTTTCCTACAGCAATCCTTTCCTGATTAAACTTTTTATCTGTAAGCCACGTTTTAGGGATAAGCTGTTTGCCTTGCTCAGGCAGGGCTGAGTCCCATGCTCTGGAGCCACGAGAGGAGGCCAAGAAATACTTGGATCCAGCCAGCCTGGCCCCCTGCGGAGAGGGAAGGAAGGTGCCATGCCCGCCAGCCCGTGGTCCCCACCCCGTACCTGTGCTTCCGACAGCATGACGTCCTTGATCACTGGCTGCCCTCGGGGCTCATTGTTTTCCAGCTTCACGTACGTAACCTGGTACCCGCGGATCTGCCCGTGCTGCTTGTTGGAGATGGGCAGCTTCCAGCTCACCCGGATGGCAGTCGAATTCACAGACTCTACCTCCACCTTGCGCGGTGGGGCACTGGGCACTGTAACACACACAGGACGGACAGTTAGCAGGTACCACACGACTGCTGCCAGCCACCTCTCACTCCTTTGCTACCTTCCCTCCACCCCACTGCCCGGACAGCCCTGCTGGCACAAGTTCCCTGTACCTGCCCAGAAGCTCATGCTGCAGTTTTCCAGCGAGACCACGTTCCCGGTATTTTCCCAGCATCCATGCACTTTTGCTACTCTCAGTAGGGCAGAGCACCACTGTGGTACGCAGGAGTACCCCTAATAAAAGCCACTGTGCTGGATCAGACCCAGGGTCCATCTATCCCTCTCTTGTCTCCAGCAGCAGGGGAGCAGGGAAGAATACAAGGATACAGCAGAACATAAAGAATACGGTAACCACCTGCAGCTCAGGGTGCCCTGCAGCAGAGGCAGGGGTTCTGAAGCCTTCTTTGCATCCTGTCTGTCACAACATTTCCTCTCAGATCCCTCTGCATACATCTAAACGCAGTCCAAGAGCCCCAGGTAGCAGGACCGAGTGCTGAGCCTGCCTCATGGGAGCCCTGTTACCTGCGACCAGCCAGAGCGCACATGCGCCCTGTGACAGCAAGAGGTTAATGAGGGGGAAAAGCACCATCCTAAAACAATAACCCAGAGCTCAGAGACAGCAGTCACTGAACTCAGCCAGATAAAGGGGCCCGCGGGGATTGTGACAGCTCTGGGGACTGTATTTCATGCACGGCTAGGTGAATGCTTTTTGATAATAAAATGAAAAATTACACTGCCCAGAAAATATCAATTTTCTTGCAAGGTGAGGCCCGTTTAAAAATGTATTTATACCCTATTTACCATTTGGAAAAATTACTTCCTTATTACTTTTTGCTCTTGCATTGACTGTGACAAAAATGTCAATGCTAAAAAATTAGCCTCTCAGTTGCTCCTGGAAAGCTCTTTCCAGCTGGAGCAGCTGGGAGCAGAGGTGTGCACTCCCTGCGGAGGACACTGCTGCTACACGAGTGCCCGGTACCCACGTGAAGGACCATGCTAGCACCTCTACCCCAGGACCCCTTCCACTCTCCGCCGTCTGGGAACATCCAGGGGTTTGGAACCCCGTACGCCCCAATTCTCAACACGGCAAGAGGTAATCAGTATTAGACAATTAGGGATGGATAGCTGTCAAGCAGACATAATGAGTATTACTATTTCAACCAACTAGATGGGAAGAAACAGCTACCCAGCAGGTAAGCACAGTTTTTAAGCCGCAGGGCAATTCATTATTTTCCCCAGATGTCCTTCTTAATTGTCGATAATTAAATAAAATAGAGAAAGGAGGAACAGAGCATTTTAGCACCATGAGGCCAGCTCAAGTTATGGGAACGGAGGGGGCTGCGCTTTAATAGTTACCACCTTCTGGCTGGAGCAGCCTACGCTGTAATCCACAACTCGCTTAGTGCGGTGACCTTGCACAAGCCACAGGGCTCTCCTGCCCTGGCAAGACACCTGCCCACGCACACAGTTGGGAGTCCAGGCGAAAAACAAGATCCTCCCCGAGAACCGGACAGAAGCTGTGCGTCAGGCTCTGCTGGCAGGAGCAGGCGGGAGGCCTCGGCAGGACACGATAGAGGGACATGAAAAGATGCGAACAGACCACAGCGTTTCGAGGAATGCCATCCTACCCCATTATGGGAAGTATGTGCTACGCCCGAGACTCAAACAGGGAAAGTTCAATTTGTTTTCATATCACCGTTCAGCATTCCTCATTTCTTCATCCTGGGTATCCACTGAGCATCAGCACGTTGGAGGGATAGGAAATCACTCCTGACAGCTGAGCTGGAATGTCCAACCACAGTGCCCGAAAACGAAGTGAGAGCGCTTGCTGCGACATTTCTGGGGTAGCAGCTTCCCCTGGGCTACAACTCTGCCGAATGAGAACTGAAGCAAACAATACAGGCAGCAGGACACACACAGATGTGCTTGCCAGCCCAGGAATGCAGTCAGCGAGCATTCCCAGACACTGCTTCCAGAGCCACGGAGACGTGGGGGACAGTGGCAGCCCATTTAGGGAAACCGTAACATGTCTGGTTTCAATCTGCCATGCTGACTGGGCAACGCGGAGATCATCCTTTCTTTGCCCGGACGCTGCGTCTCTTTCTTCTCCCATTAAAGCTGCAGCTTCTGGGGGTCAGCATGAAGCCATGGAAGCTCCTGCCGTCACCCTGAGCTCTGGCACTTTCAAAGGAAATGGCTTAAGTCATGATGACATAACTGACAGCCCCGCTAATACAAAGCAATTTCTTTTTAAAGCTGTCGTATCCAGTAAAGTGTTCTGTACACGCGATATTCTGACTCCTGAGCGGAAGAGCAGATTTATATAAGCTGTGGCTTGCCTGGAAGCTGGGGCAGGAAGCAGCTTTCCTGCGATAGCTACAAGTTCCAAATGGATTTCTTTTCCCCTCTTTATTTGGCTGGATTTCAGGTCAACATGTAAACTTTAAGTCCTGATCCCGCAACGCGAGAGAAGCCTTTGGCTGGGAGAACTCGCGTTACCCTCTTTAAAACGGAAACCACCACCGAGCGCTGGAAAGCCAAGATGGCAAAGCAGCGTAATGCCTCCTGGGGTGCGCAGGACGCAGGGCCAGCACCCGCAGAACCCTGTGGGCCCATGGCGGGACGGCTGACCCACAGCCTAGAGGCAACCACTGCAGCAGAGCGAAGGGTGACAGAGCAATTCCCCTACCCCACTCCCTGGAGCAGCTGACCGAAGCGCTGGTCCTGACAGCCTCCGGTCCTGCGGGAAAAGCCCTCCTAGGCCAATGTCCCCACTCCTTTCCCCCCCTTTTTCCAGCAACTCAGCTAGGAGAATCCTGGTGACCCAAGGCGGTAGCTGAAGGAGCTGTTCAGTAACACCTACCATCCTCGTCAGTGCGCACGTGCACGGGGACGCTCTCCGGTCCTGGCCCCACATCGGTGTGAGCCCTTACCCACACCTTGTACTCGGTCCATTTCTCCAGGTCCTTGATCTCCCAGCTGGAGTGCTCCCGTCCAATGCCATCCACCACATGCTTGGTGTTGTCATCTCCTTCCACTGCCTGGTAGGCAATGGAGTACTGGGTGATGACCCCATTGCGGCTCTGGGCAGGCGGCGGCACCCAACTTACCCGGATGGTAGTGGAGCTGGTGCTTACACACTCGACTTCTTGGGGTGGGGCGGAGGGGGCTGGGGATAAATAAATGAAGTGGGGAGATGAAGGGAAATGAGCGGAAGGACAAACCAAAATGCACAGGGAACTTTTACCCAGCCAACTGAGCACTGAACATGCACCTGGAAATTCAGCCAGTAGCCTCCCGGACAACCGTCTGCCTTCCTCGCAGATCACCAAAGATGGCACTGGAGGCGATCTGTCTTTGAAAGCCTCCCGAACAGCATGGAGACAGAAGTGCTGTTCTGCATCAGAGAACACCGCTTTCCCAAAGCGTCCTGGCCGCTCACTTCACCAAACACAACAAATGGCAGTAAAGGAAGGGGTGGGGGGGGAGAGAGACTGATAGGGAGAAGAAAGATGCTTTCAGTGAAGATCTGAAACAGATGGAAACCAGAAGAGGTAGGAAGCTACAGAAGGCAGGAGTGGCAGAAGGGGAAGCTCACACACCAGATTGCACGAAGGCTTGCGAAAACCCGCTCCTAGACAAGCGGAGGAACACCAAAGGGCAGGGAAGCAGGTGACTGCGGTTGGCTGGAGTGTGTCCAGGCAGGGTTGGAAATCACAACCATCAGCTGTGGGCAGCACCCTGACCCCAGTGGGAGCCAGGCGACATGTGGAAACGGGAGGTAACATGCTTCACATGTATGCCTAGTACCTGGGACTGACGGCTGCGTGCCTGCCAAGCTGGTTACCTGCCGCAGGAGCTTCCTGGCCGATGGAGCCATACAGGGCAAGGCAGGCAGGTCTTGCCCCTCCCAGGCAAAAAACCACCTGCAGTTTGCATTCACTTCTAAGCCCCAGCAATGTTAACTGGCCACAGAGGGAGAAGTGAGGTCTTGGCAGCAGATGCTTCTCACTGGGGTGAGGAACCATCCCCTCCACACAGCATTGCTAGGGAAGAGAAGTGAAACAAACTGGGATGGAGTGGGGTGGGGAAAGGGAGGGACCAGGAAAGGAGAGCCAACTGAAGGCTGTGGCAACCTTGAAACAGGACAGCAGTTCTGCAAGGTGGGAGAAGGGAACAAACCAGACATGCCCTGGATACACTCTGCTTCGTCCAGGACCCCAGCAGCATGTGAGCCCTTTCACAGCAGCATCAGCCTCCTCCCATTTGGCTTCACTGCCCAGGGATGCTGCAGACACGTCCTGGGACCCCTATGAACACAACAGCACCAGAGCCAGCCTTCCAGAGGCACAGGCCCGGGCCTGCCTGCTCGTTGCCTGTGCAAAGGCAAACACGACCTGCATCACCCCAGACGGCAGCAGGGACCTCAGATAATTCAGGCACCCAACAACTGTGCCTTTGGCTTTGCTGGGCATAGGATGGTGGGAGAAGATGGGGGAAAGCTGAGGACAGCAGGATCTCCCAGTGCTACTGGTGACCTCTGTGACCGCAGCTTGCTGGGAACAAGGTCCACTTGCTTGCAGAGGCAGGCACAGGCCGCACTTCACTCCCAGTGCCCACTTCTGTGCTCAGGAAGCAGGGCCTGTCCCTGATGCCTGGGTTGGGGAGCCTGGCGAGAGGAATGATGGAGGGAGAGTGGGCAGCGATGGAGCAGGAAGAGATGATGCCTGAGCAGAATCAGGCTGCTGCCATGGGAGCTACACCGGAGGAAAGAGAAATCAGAGCAACGCGTGAAAGCAAACAGTTGCCTACACGAGAGAGGCAGAGCGGGAATGGTCCTGCCATCTGCTACACCGGAAGGGAGTAGGGGTACAAAATGAATCCTCACACTCTTTTGGTTAATCAGCAGAGAAGTGGCAGGGAAAAGAGTAGGAAGATACAGCACCAAAGCAACACCAAGAGTGAATTCAGGGAGGGCATAAGTTAGACTCAGCGCCTGGTGGCACCTCTCAGAGAGGACAGGTGAGACATAAGGAGTTTGGACAGGTTTTCCTTTGCCACTGTCTGTAGAGTGGCCCTTCACAGAAGAGACTTCTCTGGCTTTGGGCCTCCATAGCATCCCTTGGGATGCAGCAGTGAGCTCCTTCCCCAAAGGCAGCTTTGTTTGGCAGTGTGGGCAGGTCAAACGTTGGCTATTGACTGGGTAAGAGTCACACACATGATGTGCAAGACAAAAACTTAAATTAACACTTAAAGAAAACAAAATAAAACTCGGTAACATGAGCAGAATCAACTTAAAATGCACAAGGAGTGGAAATGTCCCTCTTGGGGCCAGCAAAGAGCAGACTGGGTGGCCAGCCTTCACCCACACACGCAGATGTGCCCACACGCACACCGTGCAAACCTCTGCTGCCTCCAGGCTACTCACATTGGCCTCCCCCGATGGCCCACAGCAGCCCTGTGCACCCACCCCGCCCACCTACTCCTTAGGCTAGGGAAAAGGCAGCCTCAAGACCCACCTTCATATTTCAAGTGAGAACAGCATTTTAATGCTGAGGCCTGATGGGCACAGAGCTGATGCTCCTCTCCTGCATCATACCGCTTGCCTGAGGCACTGCAGGCTCCTGGAAAACTCCCCCGTGCTCCTCAGGCCCTCAAAGCAGCATTGCTTGTACTTTTTACAGGGTGCCCAGGAACTAAGCAAGCAGCTAGGCAGGAAAGACAGCCCAGAAGGCAGGTGTCTTCTCAGGAGATGAGGTGTGAGCTGGAAGGGTGCAAAGGGGCACGGCATCCCTCTGGCCTTCCCAGACAAACATCCCTACCATATGGATGCCACAAGAAAATCCCAGCAGCAGCAATACAGACGTCCTTCTCCAGCCTGTTAGTGACTCATTAGCGATGATGTGCCTCCTACCTTACCCTTGACTGGTTTGTCAGGGCCAGGAATAGAGCCTGAAGACAGGCTCTTTAGAAAGCAGGAGTCTGATCCTGCAGTTTGTGTCCCACCTGAACATGTCAACCTCCAAGATCTAACAGCCTTTCTCAGGGCAAACAGATGGAAGAGTGAAGGAAGGAGACCAATTTAAAGCTGGGAGCAACAGTCTGTCTAGATTAGTAAGTTCCAAGGCCACAGGGGACCGATCCAACCATCTACCGTGAGGCGCTGTGAAGTGCAGACCAAAGAATTTCTGTCTGAAAGTTGTGCATCGGGCACAAGTTCTGCCGAGCTAAAGCAGAACTTTCGGAAAGACCTACTTGGCTTTGAGCCACTCAGTACCCAAGAACCCACTCTGCCCTGGGACTGTTCGGCCAGTGGTTTGTCACCCTCAACAGCCCAGCAGCAACTGCCAAGGCCTCTTCTCAAAGAACAGGGTGCCACCAGGAACCTCAAGTAGAGGCCTGTAAACCAAGACACAGTCACTTCTTGGATAAATCAAAGAACTCTCAGATCCCTCAGTGTAAGAAGGACCAAGGTCAAACCAAGGTATCCCTGTGATTTTTGGCCAAATCTCTTGAACCCATCCACATCTCTCTCACTAAACATATGTCAGAACCAGTCAGCTACTGCTCCACTAGCTAGTGAAGGGACAACCTTGAAAACAGACTGGTATGAGATCCCCTGTGAGCAGACTGCATGTGGAGCAGGTCATGGGACAACGTCTGCCTTAAAGAAGCAAAGGTTTCTCTTACTTGGACTGTTGTGAGACTGTGAAGGACTCATTTATGCACGGAGCTGTCTCTGATTAAGTGTGTTCGAGAACAGGAGCATCCACTGATGCAATTAATTTAAGAGGCAGGAGAGTTGCTCCAACCTTTGCCTATCAATACAGAAGCTATCTGAAATAGGTATACAAATTCCCACACTCAGAATTTGTTCTGAATGTTCAAATATTTATAACTGCATGATCTGAACCTCTCTCCATTTTCATATCTGTCTGTCGTACAGCACTAAGACACCATTAGCTCACTTAACGAGGTGCAGGAATCCCTGCGACTGATATGTTAATGAAGCTGAGTTTTCCTCAAAGAGAAGGTAGTTCCAATAGCGAGCAAAGCTGCTCTTCCCTGCCTGAGCTCCCTTTCTAATGGCCATCTCGGGCTCTCGGCTGTGAGCACGCTGGCACCCTCCCTGCAGGGAAGGCTGGCTGCCTCTGCCAACTGCTCACCCCACATAGCTAGTAAATCCCAGACAGACGGTGCTAACGGAAGTGTCTTTTTTCCCCCCTTTTAATGCTCTTTGCATAATGCAAGGCCAAAAATCGTTAGTGAAAACGAGCTTATTGCAGGGCCCTTTGATAGCCCTAATCTGCTTATGCGCAGCACTTTGAGCTGCCAATCAGAGCAACGCGAACTCCTGCTCTGTGATCACATGGGGCACAGCGAGGATGAAAGTGATATTGCCTGGGTCACCTCATTATCTAGCCTCTCTATTAACTCGGTCACAGCTTGTTCTGGTTTCCCCTAGCGCTGCAGTCCCAGATGCAGGAGCCCCACTTGCTCATGCAACCCAGGCAAACGGCCACTTGCCCAATCTGACTCCCTCCAGCTGCCTGACAGCCACAGGCACACTGGGGCTCAAAGGATGCCTCACCTTGCGATCAAGTGTACAGACTCAGTAAGGATCCCTGAAGAAGGAAGGCAGCTGGAATGGGGAGTGAAGGGGTGAAAATCCGATGGTTTGGAGACAGTCACATTTAGAGCCAAACACCCATATGCTGCCTGTCCAGACAGCTTGTCTGCATGGGAGTGAATTCATAGAGATGCACAACCCACTCAAATCAATCTCTCCAAAGCAATTTCCCAGCCTGTTTC